GAGATGAAAGTAAGCGTCTCGGAGATCGACGGACGCGAAGAAGTCCCAGTATCTGAGGAGAGGAAGAATGGACGATACCGTCACCATCCGAAACTTTTGAGGTTCAATGAAGGAGTTTAAGTCTCTGAGGTCGAGGATGGGGCGGAGGGAGCCATCCGGCTTTGGGACAGTAAAGCATCTGGAGAAGAAGGCTCGATGGTTTTGGGAGTCCGGGAGAGGGGAGATTGCTCCCTTCAGAAGCAAGGTCTCGATCTCTGACAGAATTGCCGAGGATGGTTCGGTGTCGACAATCTGTCCTGTTGGTGGGAGCTCTTCGAACTCCAATGCATAGCCTTCGTCGACAATCTTTAAAACCCATGCATCTGAGGTGATATTTTCCCATGCAGGGAGAAAGTTTGTCAGGCGATCTCCGAACGGTGTCGAGCCGGATGGAAGGATGAGGGCGGGTACCATTGGAAGGGACATGGGAACAACATCGGTAACGAAACTGTACACGGTATCGTCCGCAAGGGCGTCAAATGCGGCGCCTGGCCTGGTTGCCTCCTGAAGCCTGGCGAGAGCGCGAACGCTGCTGCTGGTGCTGCCTCCGCTGTTGTTGGGGTTGTTGAGGTTGGGTTTGTTGGGAGTTCTGCAGGGGACGGGTTGGATGGCGGTACTGGATGGTACGGTACGGGATCGTGTGCCGGCGCCTGTATTGGAACCATCTGGTTCTTTGTGCCTGGTTCTGATTTTCGAACCCGCACTTGGAAGCCAAAGTCTTGAAGTCGTGATTTGACTTCAGTTTGTCGTCCGTCCCAGCATTGAAGAGCCCCAGGGCATCAAAGGGAAGGTCTTCGATCACCTGCCTCGATGAAGTAGAGAGGCCAGAGGATCTAAGCCATGCATGCCTTCTGATTGCCACTGCATGAGCAATCATTTTTCCGGCAGTGTCCCCTGTGTGCTTGACCATCTGCATCTGGTGATGCGCCAGAGAATTTGCCTCCTGTGCCAGGGTGGTCATGGCAGCACGATCCTCCTCAGACATCCTCTGGAAGAATGGTTCCGCCTTTTCCCAGAGGATTTGCTGGTACGCTCCCATGCATGCCCCATAGTTCGCCATGCGGGCCAGTAACAGGGCACCAGAGTAGAGCTTTCTGCCCACTGCGTCGAACCTCTTTCCCTCACGGTCGGACGGTGCCGAGGACTGCCTTCCGAACCCTTGAGCCGCCTTCACGACCACCGAGTTAGGGTCGGGGTGGTGTTTCAACCATTCCAAGCCCTCATCATCAGTCCTGTACCAAGATTCGATTTTCTTGGATGTTGGAGGGATGGATGAAGGGGTCTTCCAGGAGCCTTGAATCACCTCGAGGAGGTAGGGAAGGAAGGGTAGGAGAGGAGCGGGTGGGGACTCCCTCTGCACCCTTTTGAACACTGGGTCTAGCACTGCCTTGGAGGTTTGCTTGACCTCCAGGCCTAGAGCCTCAGCCATGCGAGCCATTTGATCCGCAAAGGCTCGAACATTGTCAGTAGGGGATGGCGGATCAGCCTCATAAGCGTCGTGATTTCTCGATCCCGAGAGACAACACCGATCCCGAGTGTACCGATCCCGGTAACTCGCCATCTTCTTCATCGTCAGCAGCCAAGGATCGGGGAGGAGGGGATGAGGAAACATCCCGACTCGCGAGCTGCAGAGGAGCCACTGGGGGGACTTTAGAAGCCGAGGCCTGAATGGCACGGGCTAGTCTCATCGTCTGTCTGCCCCTTTCTGGAGTCTCCAGCACTGGAGAGGTCTCCTGTCTGGCTGTCACAGTAGTCAACGTCGTGACCGGCGGGAAAAGCTCCTGTCTGGCTGTCACATGGCGAGTTGGTGCCTCGATCACCGTGTCCACCGAGATCACCGGGGACTCGGGCTGCTCCGAAGGCTGTTCCAGCCCGGGTTGTGGGACCTGAGCCGGTTGCGGGGGTAGCTGAGGTTCAGCAGGCCGTATCGGCAATGACCTCGCAGACGAGGTGGCCGAGGAGGCAGTGGTCTGCTTTCGGGAAGAAGAGGAAGACGAGGATGGGGGCGGCATCGTCTTCTTCTTCTTTGCCGGCGGCTGAGCTGTTTTCGACACCGACTTGCCCGGGGTGGGCGGAACGGAGGATGAGGTGGAAGCACGCCGTGACTCTTCCTGAGACCGGCGGAAAGCAATGCGAACCGCCGTGGAAGATGGCGGGGTCGCCGACGTCGACCTCGTGGACCTGGCCGATCTCACCGACGCCACCGAGCTGGTCGATGAGTGTCGAATGCGTACGGTCTCGGTCGTGACCGTGCAAGGAGCCTTCTGCTTCGTAGGCTTTGCCGCCTTAGAAGCTGTCGACACAGAGGCCTTCGAGACTGTCGACATGGCTGGTCTTGGTGCCTTTTCTGTGCGGCCTTTTTCGCCCTTGTCTGGCGAGGCCCGGCCTCCGTCGAGGGATCGGCAGATGTAGATGTCGATGCCTTCGATCTCGAGGCTGACGTTGAAGGTCCGGATACCGCAGCCGACGTCGACGCCGATGTCGATGTTGAAGGTACCGGGGCCAACGTCTGTTGGTACAGAAGGTACCGAAGCCGATGAACTCGGTTCTTGCGGGACTGTGCCGTCAACGATTGACAATGACGACACGAAGAAGTAATATGTGCCTCTCCGAGACACAGAAGGCAAAGAGCGTGCTTGTCCGAATCAGGAATCTTCCTCGGACAATTCGCGCATCTTTTGAAGCGAGTTGTTGACATAATCCGGTCAACAACTCGAGAGACAATCCTAAGAGAATCGCTATACTATCCAACTATTCCTAGAAGTCCGAAGCGAGCCGTGCGGCGGAAAAAAAGGAATTGGATCGGTGTGCGCGGGGCGCCCTTTTATCCCCTGCCGGGGCTGGGCGGGGTTACCGCCAAAACTTGAAAGTTTTTGAAAAGTAGAAGTTTCCGTTGGAGCCCGCGCAGGCGCAGTCTCTCCACAAGTGTGAATTCGCAGAGACCACGAAGAAAAAAGTGGCTTTGAAAATGCTAAACTTAACTTCAAAAACATCATAGTGAAAAGCCAAGTGAAAAGTGCAAGCATTGTTGAATTGCCAATATTTTTGATCCCTTTGTCTTTTGGTTTTCTCACAAAGATTCAGAGCATGAATGATAAGTAGCTCACTCTTTCAAGAGTATCCTAGACATTTTGTTTGTTTGTTTGTTTGTTGTATTTATTTATATCCTGCTTTTTCTCTCCATACGGAGATTCAAAGCGGCTCACAACTAAAAGCAGTTGTCTTAGCAACAATAAGCAAATCATAGTAATCATATATTTCCCTGGTATGCAGAAGTTTATTTGATATATCAAAGGAATTACAAATATGTATACATTCCAGAGGAGGGCAACTAAAATGATCAAGGGTCTGGAGAACAAGCCCTATGAGGAGCAGCTTAGGGAACTGGGCATGTTTAGCCTGAAGAAGAGAAGGCTGAGAGGAGATATGATAGCCATGTACACATATGTGAGAGGAAGCCACAGGGAGGAGGGAGCAAGCTTGTTTTCTGCTTCCTTGGAGACTAGGACGCGGAACAATGGCTTCAAACTACAAGAGAGGAGATTCCGTCTGAACATTAGGAAGAACTTCCTGACTGTGAGAGCCGTTCAGCAGTGGAACTCTCTGCCCCAGAGTGTGGTGGAGGCTCCTTCTTTGGAAGCTTTTAAGCAGAGGCTGGATGGCCATTTGTCAGGGGTGATTTGAATGCAATATTCCTGCTTCTTGGCAGGGGGTTGGACTGGATGGCCCATGAGGTCTCTTCCAACTCTTTGATTCTATGATTCTATGATTCTATGATTCTATGATTCTATAGTGTGGGTACCAGAAGAGGTAGGTTGTACCAGGTTATGCATACATCATTCTGACAATTTTTATTTTCATTGCTATTCATTCTAATTGTTCTTATTCTGGTTAGGATTATTGAGTGTTGTGGAAAATTGATTTCCAGAGAGGGCTTTGAATATAAAATCATTTTTTTCAACATAAAACTGCCATCTTTCCCAATAAAAATCCAGTTCTTTGTTACATAAAAGCAATCATCTAAGAACACAAATACTTTTTTTACTTCACCCAGAATTCTAAATAATTTTTGATAAAGCAGCAGAAAAATATAGAATGATTCCTATTATTCCAACCTTAAAGAGAATGTATAAAAGGCCCGCCCCACCCAAGCACAGTGAGACTGAAGTTTTACTGGGGAGTCATTCAAAAGCAGGAAAATATAGTTGGGCCAAACCCTGAAAGGAATGCTCTTCACAAGCAACACCTCAAAACATAGGATAACAGGTTCTCGGGTTTGCAGTCCAGTTGCTGGGAACAACATCTAGCCTCATGGAGAAATTCTGGATGCTTTGGATTATTTGGCTTTGTTGATTCTGGACTGAATCTTTGTTTCTGTGTTTGGATCTTGACTTTGACCTTAGGCTCTGTTATCTTTGACTTGACTGGCTCTGTTGAATCTTGAACTTGTTCGGCGTGACCTCAGTATTTGGACTTGGAAATTTGGACTTTGCATTTCTTTTAGGATTTGGTCCATAGACTTAGCTTTTGGCTGTTTATATGTTATATTTCAGTTGTTTGAATATTGTGTTATTAGTTTAATCTGGACTTGGCAAAAAACTGTTTCGGGGAAATAGAGGAGGAAGAAATAGTAGCTAATGTCCAATCTCCCCTTTTCACTGACAGAAAACATGCATTTGTGCATTTATTTTCTATCTAGTTACATCTAAAACACAACTGTTACTTGTTAAGATCTATGTATTTTGGCTATAAATATTTTTCTTAACAGCTATTCTTTTTGAAAGTTGGAAAACTAATCCTGCTGTAACAGTAAGAATGCCAGCTGAACATGGCTATTCTTGTGCTGATTTTCCTGAAATAGCTTCATGTATAATTGAAAGGGCTTTTATAACACTTCTGAGATAAATAATAATTTTGGGATTTCTATTGTATTATTGAAAAATATTTCTTTTCATTTACAGGTTTACTAAGATAAAGACAAAGAAACCAACAGACAACAAAACCTGAAATGTCAGTAGTTCGACTCTTCTTCTTCTGTCTTTAAGCAAAAGATGTGTGTGAATGAGAGGGACACAGCCAAGAATTCCACACATGTTCAATCTGTTCTAGGACTGGTCTTGGGAGGAATCTCATTGACTACAGTTGTCATGAATATTTTGGTCCTGTATGCAGTGAAAACAGAAAAGAAATTGCAGACGGTTGGCAATCTTTATATTGTGAGTCTTGCGTGTGCAGACGTTATAGTTGGTGCAGTTGTCATGCCACTAAACATTGTGTACCTGTTGAAGGATAAGTGGGTACTGGCAAGGGAAGCTTGCCTGTTTTGGCTATCAATGGATTACGTGGCCAGTACAGCCTCCATATTTAGTCTCTTCGTCCTTTGCATCGATCGTTACCATTCTGTCCAACAGCCATTACAATATCTCAAGTACAGGACCAAGACTAGAGCCTCTGTCATGATCTCCATAGCTTGGCTTCTCTCTTTCCTGTGGGTTATCCCAATTCTTGGCTGGCACAAATTTACACATGACAACAGCACAACCAGTGGGACCAATAATGAAACGATATGTGAAACAGATTTTTGCAAAGTCACATGGTTTAAAGTCCTGACAGCCATGATAAATTTTTATGTCCCATCAGCGCTGATGCTGTGGTTCTATGCAAAAATATATACAGCTGTGAGGCGGCATTGTCAGCAGCGAGAGTTCATCAATGGGTTGTTTCGGTCTGCCTCAGAAAGAACAGTTGTACACAACGGAAAACTGCAAGAAATACAACAGACCTATCCCCCAAGTCTAAAAAAAGAGGTAGACTGTGTTATGAAAGGAAATAATCCAAATAAAAGGATGGAGGACCAGCATCCATTGAACAAATTTCTTAAAATTCCAAATGGTTTTCAAAGAGGAGGTGACCATGAAGTAGGAGTAGTGAAACTCAGCTGTTTTCCTCAAACCATAGCACAAGATGACACGAGCATAGGTAGGACAGATAGCAAGTATGAGTATGTTAATGAACATGTTCAAAACGCAGAGTCCCATTGCCCCCAAGATTATGAGTTCAGCAAAGTATCAGAGGAACTCACATTTGCAGACAATTTTGCAGGCAAATCTTCCCCTCAAAAGAACTCTAATTCCACTCAAGAGCAAGATTGTTCCTTGGGGAATTGCTTTTCCCAGCATACAAATAAAAAAGACAATATGAGTCTCCAGTATTTGAAGAAACCATGGGGGAGGCTGCGCACTCATTCCATTAGCAGCCAAGGGTTGCATGGAAACAGAGAGAGGAAGGCAGCCAAGCAACTAGGTGCAATAATGGTAACTTTTATGCTGTGTTGGTTTCCATATTTTGTGTTATTCTTGGTTATGGCCTATTGTGGAAACTGTTACAATCGCACAGTTCACATGTTTACCATTTGGCTTGGCTACTTGAATTCAACGTTAAACCCCATTATATATCCTCTCTGCAATGAGAACTTCAAAAAAGCTTTCAAAAAGATTTTTCATATTAAAGTCTAATTTGTCTTGGAGAATATTGTACCGGGGGGGGGGGGGTAAGCAGCGTTTTTATATGAAAACATAAAACTCGACTTTCAAGGATTGTAGAGGAAAACTACAATTGGAATTTATGATTTCCGAAGACACTAAGTGCAAAATTAAAAAGCCAGAAGGAAGAACATTGTTTCCTGGATATAGCCTGGGGAGTCCTATAACCTCAGGGTTATATAATCCTCTTCTTTTTGAGGATATCTGTACCTTTGCATATACTGTATTTACTCAAATCTAATGCTCACTTTTTTTGGCTGAATTACCCCACCAAAATTAGGGTACGCACTAGAGTTGCGTTGTACAGTATTGTTAATGCTGAGCCAAAGCAAAAGGGGAAGCTGCTTCAGGGGCTTCTGGAACTCCTATTTGAGGGATGTCATCTCAAATTTAACTGCCGTGGCTCAATACTATGCAATCCCGGGCTTTGTATTTTGGTGAGCCACTAGCATTCTTTGGCAGAGAAAGAATCCTAAAGAAGACTTTGTAAAACTACATGATTTCATAACATTGAGTCAGGGCAGTTAAAGTGGATTCATTCTACATCATAGATGCATGCCAAGGTTTTCCTTTCCATCACTGGAAGCTTTGATATTTCAACCAATTTTTTAAAAGAAGGACTTCAAAGGGCCCTTCCACACAGCCCTATATCCCAGAATATCAAGGCAGGAAATCCCACATTATCTGTATGTGGACTCTGATAACCCAGTTCAAAGCCGATATTGTGGGATTTTTTTGCCTTGATATTCTGGGATATAGGATGTGTGGAAAGGCCCTAAGCAGGCAGCAACTGTAATGCACACCCTTTTTGGCCAAATTGCAAAGAATGCACTTTTTCCTGCTGCACAAGACATTCACCAGCAAACACTTTTTTTGCTTTCAAGTTTTTGAAAATTGGGGTGCGCACTAGATTCGATGGCACATTAGACTCGAGTAAATACAGGTATTTCACAGGGTTTAGATTTGGTTTGAGTTTTTCCCCCGAATAGAATGACTATGCTCTATAGTTTATAAAGACAAAACTGTATTTGTTCTGCCTGGTGCTCTGTTGGCTACAAGCCATTGTCCATTTGTATATTCCCTCAATCCCTTGATAACTGAGAACTTAAAGGTTTATGTGCAGTTTGCCTTTCCTGGAGCCACCAAAGAATTAATGGAACCTTGTAATACTGAATTTATTTACAAACATTCAAACTCAGCGCAGGTGAAAACATGCCATAAGATCTTGTAACCAGCAAACCTGGTGTCCTTTAGACCTCCAGACTGGAGAACATTAGCACTTCAGTTGTGTTTACTTTACAGGTCAAAAGTCAGTTCTGTCTGTCTCAGCCTGCCTCAACAATAGGTCTATCCCAGTCTTTTCCCAGATTCAATCAATTCAAAATTATTCTGGTATTTCCTGTTTGTGCTGAAATTTCCAAGAAATTTTGATTATTAACCAATAAATCTGTCTGATAAAAGCTATGACCAAGGCTAGCTAGTAGGTATGGCCAGTGTTCATAGCAATGCACTTGGTTTGAATTGGACCTGGTTATTTTTTGTTTTTAAAATAAAATTTGCATATTAAAAAAACAAAGATTTTGACTCACGTAAACATACGTAAATCTAATTGTTATTTGAAAGAGCGCATTCCAGACATCTGATTAAACTTACAAAGGACTGCACAATAGGTTTTCTTCACCTCAGGATATGTTTCATGAGATATAACGAAATTGGACAGAAAACACAAACTCTTGTTTCAGACACAGTGGTTTGATTATTTTGCAAAACACAAACATACCTTAGTTTTAGTGGGGTCCTGCTGTTGATGACCCTACTTTGGCCATATGTGCCTGCCAGCCATTAGTAAGGTAAGCAGTGGCTGCCTCTGCCACTCTCCTGCTGTTAGGGGCTTAAGATAGGACAGGATTTTTTGAATGTCGAATCTATCTGTTTGGGTTTTTTTCATCTAAGCCCTCACATTTGATCTTACTATCCTTTGACATGCATAAGTAGACCATGCAATCCTCATCATTTCTTAGGGGCCCTTGGTTATATAAACTTTCCCCATTCTCAGTCTTGTCTGTCTTCTGATCCCTCTCTAATCTCCAGCCATGTTTTGCTCCTTCATCAAAAGTTGGGGGGTTAAGAATGAAGACTTTACCTAATTGTTTCATTAATCAGTTAGAATGTAAATTGCATACGTATATACAAAATCATTAGTAAACTTTTAAGTTTGTAACCTACAACTGCCTGCCTTGTTTGTTTTGAGAGTCACAAGAGAACTCAGGAAAGCAATACACAGACATTGAGGCACATTTTGCTACTTTGCTAAACAAAGGTTATTCCTAACCGTTCTAATTTTCATACTTTTCCCCAAAAAGAGAAAACACCCTGGGAAACACTATTTCCAAATAGCTCCTAGGATCTCTGGCTTCATATGTTTTAATAAAGAGAAACGAGAGCAGGAGGCATGCCTTCCTAGCTCCCTCCAGCATTTTAAAAAGCGTAGCATTACTTGGCTCTCAAAAGGGAAATAATAAGAAAAGTGGTGCATCCTTGGATACATTTTGAAACTTTCTAGTTCTTTCTGTTCAAATTATTTTTGTTTAGTTTTATTACTGACTTACTGGCCTAGTTATCATCTCATGTGTAATCATCTCCTTTGGAGACTTTTAAGCAGAGGCTGGATGGCCATCTGTCAGGGGTGCTTTGAATGCGATTTTCCTGCTTCTTGGCAGGAGGTTGGACTGGAGTGCCCATGAGGTCTCTTCCAACTCTGTCTTCGGTAAAACATTTTCTATTGAAGAAGCAATGCCCAAAACATGTCAACTGTGATATATCTGTGCTTAGACCATCATTTTTGAATAAAAATTGAAAGTTGGTCTTGCTTTTTAAATCTATTTTAGGGACTTAGGTGTGATCAGCTTTACTGACGTGTTATTAATTTAAAAAAATGTAAAGATAATATTTTCAGCAATTTTGAACATTTCTAGAAGCTACATAGATTTGCATACCTGATGTACTACTGAAATATGTTTAAGTTTTTTAATGGCATTAAATGTACTAATAAGGGAAATGTTTCATTCATTTCTTTTTGCTACAGAGGTATTCTCATAAGTATAATAAAACTGCTTAAACCAAGTAGAGATGGAGATGTAAAGATGAAGATGCCTTTGGAAATATCTGTTAATGCATAGTTATGTAAAACCATTGAAAATGTCTTAAGTTATTAAAAAATGATGAAAGCGATTCGTTTACATTACAGTAATCACACATTAATTTACCTCCACTCACTAATGGATGACACTACCCAATTCGGCATCCCTTGTTTTTTTATCTGGTACACACAAATACAGTCTATCTTGCTGAGCTATTCCTTCGTTTAAACTTCATCTTCAGACTCTTGTCTACTGACTTTAATATCAAGTCATTGCCCCCTTCCCCTACTTTTTATAACATGTTATTGGAAGAAGAGATCCAGAGATTCCAGAAACAAGTCCTAATGCATTTTGATTTCCCTCCTCATGAATCAATATGACTGTTTTAGAGGATCTGAGAAACAGCAAGCAAGGAAGGAAATGTGTGGATAATGTGTTAGTAGTAGGTTAAATAATCATTGTGAGGAATTGGAAAAATATCCAGAAACCATATTTCAGGAACTTGTATAAGAATATATATGGAATGGAATGTACATTAAGTTTTCATACAGCTGGCTAATGACTATGACTAATCAAGCCACTTTTGGGAATAATGGAGATTTTTTTTAAAACTGGAATGATAGTGAGGAAATATAGAATACTGTAAAAATGTTTGCTTGTATGATTTGTCTTCTGTACAGTTGACATAAATGTGAGATTGTATATACAAAGACCACTGTTTTACTGTTGCACTTAATAAAAAGAAATTATAAAAAAGTTACATCATGGTTTTAAACTATAGTTAAGTGGTATCTCTCCTCCATCCTGAATGTGCAAGTTGCTGAAATGCATCATTCCTGATACTGCAGTGTTCTCACATCTTTGGTTATGCTGGAGATATTCGTGCCAATAAATGACATGAGGTACACATCCTCTAATAGTCCACAGTTGAAAACTGGAACATGTGTAGCCAAGTGTGACAAATAAAAACATGTGTCCAAGCAGTATCAGATTGCAGTCAAGATGACAAACATTATTAATAAGGAAGTACCCGCAACTTGGAGAGGCTGCAGCTCTTTGCTTTTGCCTTAGCCTACTGAAAAGGACAAGATTATTCTCCTCCCTCCATCACTGGACTGAGTACAAACTTCTTTTGAATGTTTGAGTTGCATTGCATATAAATTCAATAAATAAATCAATATAATAAACTTTGGACTCAATGATAGTAGAAACTGTTTAAAAGCTGCTATTTATTTATCAAGTCATCAGCAACCAGTCAGTTATATTACATTTCTAACAGAACAAAGCAAACAAACAGGCAGAATACAAAAATACAAAATACAGAATACAAAATTTGTGAGTTTGGTAGTTGATTAAATGTCCTTTGACCAGTATCTGGCCACTTGGAGTGCTTCCGGTGTTGCTGCAAGAAGGTCCTCCATTGTGCATGTGGCAGGGCTCAGGTTGCATTGCAGCAGGTGGTCAGTGGTTTGCTCCTCTCCACACTCACATGTCGAGGATTCCACTTTGTAGCCCCATTTCTGAAGCTGCTGAAACTGGGATAATCGAGGACAGAAGAAGCATGCCTGGGATGACACAGGAAAGTTCAGACTACAATCTTTTTGTCCATGTCCAGCTTGAACAGATGCACTAAGATTTGGGAGTAAAGTAATTTAAAGGAACTAACTAGCTTCAAATTTGAAAAGAATAGGAAAAAAGTGTTTGCCAACATTTTTTTCAAGAATATTGAATTTTATAGAGTAGCTGAAAGAAAATAAGATATATATAGATAGATAGAAAACAGAAGATTGAAAATACCATTGCAGGGAAAGTTGAAAGCAGAGAAAGGAGAAAGGATAATACTGGACTTTACAACACCATTATAGAGAAGAATGGATGTACAACCCCTTTTCTTCACCCCACTACACAGCATCCCCCCCTCAATTTTTTACTTTACTTCCTTTCCCCTATTTTACACAGCCCACCCTACACGTTACCCCTCTTTTATCTGGTACACACAAATACAGGAGCCCCCGGTGGCGCAGTGGGTTCAACCCCTGTGTCGGCAGGACTGAAGACCAACAGGTCGCAGGTTCGAATCCAGAGAGAGGCGGATGAGCTCCCTCTATCAGCTCCAGCTCTTCATGCGGGGACATGAGAGAAGCCTCCCACAAGGATGATAAAAACATCAAATCATCCAGGCGTCCCCTGGGCAACGTCCTTGCAGACGGCCAATTCTCTCACACCAGAAGCGACTTGCTCCTGACACGACAAAAAAACCCCCCTCTTTTATGCAAACTTGTTCATATGAAAACTACAATAAAAATTACTTTAAAAAAAACAACCCAAATATTGCACTTTTTAGGATAGATGCAAAACACTTTTCCTACAATGAAGACTGGTAGTTGCAGTCCAAAAAAAAAAAGTAAGTCAAAAGTTTCGGAATGAAGATCACAATGCATATTAGCTGCTATTTCAAGAGTTAAGAGTCATATTTATAGGGGGGAAAATAATTAAACCCAAAATGAAGTCACAACTGAAGCAAAGTAAAGGGGGAGGGGGAGGGGGAGAGAGAAAGAAGGGAAAGATACACTCTACCACCCTCTCAATGGCAATGCCTTTAAGGAACCAATCAAAGTGCATTCCTTCGCCGGCGCCATTAATAGACGTCACTGAAGCCGTGCCCAATCGCTGGCGGCAGCGGCAGCAGCTGGTTCGTTCCCGTAACAACGCGGAAGCGGCCCATTCAACCTGCATTCCCTCAGAGCCCCGGTGGGCGCCTTCAAACCCGGCCCGGCCATGAGTGCCTGATCGCCCTCGCCTCCTGCATTTCTCCCCAGCCCAGCTTTTCCTTCCTCAGGCGAGCCATGGCCAGCGAGAAGCCCGCTGGCTCGGCGGACGGCGAGGCCCCGAAGCTGCAGTTCCTGCCCTTCAGCAGCGCCTTGGACGCCGGCTTCTGGCACGAACTGACCCAGAAGAAGCTCAACGAGTACAAGCTGGACGAGTCCCCCAAGGCCATCCGGGGCTATTACTATAACGGTGAGGGAGGAGGCCCGCTTCCACTGCCCTGGCTCAGGGCTGTGTTGTCCTGGGAGCTCTAGTTTCGCAAGGTCTTGAGCCTACACTACCAAAGAGGGCTGAGGCCTTGCCAAATTTAGCAGGGAAGGCTCAAGACTTGGGGAAACCAAGCCACAGCAGTAAAAACGACATACATTCGAATATTCAAATAGGTTTATGCTCAGTTGGAAGCACAGGAAGGGGTCTCCTGGGACATCTAGTCCAACCCACTGCTCAGGATCCATCTATAGCAGGCATGGGAAAACTTGGGCCCTCCTGGTGTTTAGGACTTCAACTCCCACCATTCCTAACGGCCTACCTCAGACCCCTTCCTTTTCCCCCTCAGCCGAAAGGGCCTGAGGTAGGCCGTTAGGAATGGTGGGAGTTGAAGTCCCAAGCACCAGGAGGGCCCAAGTTTGCCCATTCTTGATCTATAGGTAAAGCATCCCCATAGAATCATAGAGTTGGAAGAGACCTCATGGGCCATCCAGTCCAACCCCCTGCCAAGAAGCAGGAAAATTGCATTCAAAGCACCTCCGACAGATGGCCATCCAGCCTCTGTTTAAAAGCTTCCAAAGAAGGAGTCTCCACCACACTCCAGGGCAGAGAGTTCCACTGCTGAATGGCTCTCACAGTCAGGAAGGTCGTCCTAATGTTCAGATGGAATCTCCCTTCTTGTAGTTTGAAGCCATTGTTCCACATCCTAGTCTCCAGGGAAGCAGAAAACAAGCATGCTCCCTCCTCCCTATGAATTCCTCTCACATATTTATCCATGGCTATCATGTCTCCTCTCAGCCTTCTCTTCTTCAGGCTAAACATGCCCAGCTCTTGAAGCCGCTCCTCATAGGGCTTGTTCTCCAGACCCTTGATCATTTTAGTCACCCTGCTCTGGACACATTCCAGCTAGTCAATATCTCTCTTCAATTGTGGTGCCCAGAGTTGGACACAATATTCCAGTTGTGGTCTAACCAAGGCAGAATAGAGGGGTAGCATGACTTCCCTGGATCTAGAATGCCCACACTAAAACAAGCCTCACAAAGTGTTGGGGCTTGCAAGAGGTCCTCTGTTGAAAAACAGAATAAAAGGTAACAACTGTACTTTTGATTTATGGCTATATGAATATAAATCTTCATATCCATATGTGTGTGTGAGAGAGAGACTTATGCATTCTTATAGCTCAACGGCTATATGGGGAGGAGGATGACTGGAAGTTTATATTCACTGAATGGTTCTGTTCCGAAAATGTCATCATACTTCAACTCAGTTGGTTTTGGTTTTGGTTTTGGTTTTGGTTTTGGTTTTGGTACAGAGCCCTTCCTCACAGCCATATGACCTAGAATATCAAGGCAGGAAATTCCACAATATCTGCTTTGAACTGGGATTTCTGAATCCACACTGCTATATAATTCAGTTAAATGCAGAAAATGTGGGATTTTATTCAGCTGTGTGGAAGGGCCCTCCGTTGATTCCATTGACCTCGCTGGCTCCATTGGCTGTATTACTTAATGTGAAGTGTTGTTTATATATTTTATGTTTCATATCTATTATATTAGATAGGAGCCCCTGGTGGCACATTGGGTTACACTCTTGTGCCGGCAGGACTGAAGACCGAAAGGTCAGAGGTTCGAATCTGGAGAGAGTGTGGATGAGCACCCTCTGTTGGCTCCAGCTCCATGTGGGACATAAGGGAAGCCTCCCACAAGTATGGCAAAAGCACGTTTGGCGGGGACGAGAGGCAGGGCCTTCTCTGTGGCGGCCCCTTGGCTGTGGAACTCCCTGTCTAGGGATATTAGATCAGTCCCTTCCCTCCTGACCTTTTGAAAAAGAGCGAAAACTTGGCTCTTCGAGCAAGCATTCGGAACCTCAGGATAAACAGACAAACTTGAATCGGAAAATACCCGGGAATGGTTAAGATGATGGAACAGATGAGGATTTGAACAAGAGGACATAGTTTTTAAATTTTTTATTATTCATTGTTTTTATGTCTCTAAATGTAATGTAATGTTTCTTTTTTGCTTTTTATCAATGTATGTATTTTATATATGGCATCGAATTGTGCCGACTTTGTATGCCGCCCTGAGCCGCTTTCAGGCTGATATGGGCGGGATAGAAATAGTGTAAATAAATAAATAAAACATTTAAGCATCCAGGTGTCCCCTGGGAAATGTCCTTGCAGACAGCCAATTCCCTCATACCAGAAGCGACTTGCAGTTTCTCAAGTTACTCCTGACATGAACAAAAAGTTAGATGTAGATTAATTAATTGTTTTATGTCTCTATCAAATCTGGCACTGAATGTTTGCCATCTTTTGTTGTAATCTGCCCTGAGTCCCCTTGGGGAAAGGGGGTGGAATATAAATAAAGTATTCTTATTATTATATAACCCACTTCAAGGCAGATAATCTGGATCTGCAATATTCACACTTGCCTCAGGCAGACAAGAGTTCTTTTTCCCACCTTGAACATTCCACAGATATATAAAACTCACTTGTCTGGTTTCCAACAAACCTCACAATCTCTGAGGATGCCTGCCATAGATGTGGGTGAAACATTAGGAGAGAATGCTTCTGGAACATGGCCATACAGCCCAGGAGAGGGCAGGCTTGTTTTCTGCTGCTCCGGAGAGTAGGACACAATGCAGCAATGGATTCTAATTGCTGGGGGGGGGGGGGGGGAGAGATTAGGAAGGACTTCCTGACAGTTAGAGCTGTTTGACAGTGGATCTCACTGCCTCGGAGCCAGGTTGAGTCTCCTTTTCTGGAGGCGTATAAGCAGAGGTTGGATGATCATCTGTCGGAAGTACTTTGATTGTGCTGTTCCTGTCTGGCAGAAAGGGATTGGATTGGATGACTCTTGGAGTCTCTCCCAACTCTATTATTCTATTGCTCTTCCCTATGAGGCAGCAGACAACAGGTCTGTGCCATTATCTCTTGGACAAGCCTTGGGATATTTATAGAGTCCAGTCATGTCACCCACTCTGTTCTCTTTTTATAATAAAAGGTTGCTTTTGGAATAGCTGAGAATGGTTTGAAACTGGTGGTGCCTTTCCACTTTAAAAACAATGCATTTTGACACCACTACCATGGTTCAGTGTTGTGGGATCCTGGGAGTTGTACTTTGGTCAGAGAAGGCTAAAGTCCTTGTAAAACTAGAGCTCCTAGTATTCTATATCATTGAGGCAAACTGCATTATTTCTACAGTATAGATGCACTCTGGGATGATAAAATAAGAACCATGCTTCATATCAAGCAAAGACCAGCCATACAATTACGTTGCTGTACAATGTTTAGCTACAGCAGTGATTCTCATCCTGTGGGTCCCCAGATGTTTTGGCCTTCAACTCTGAGAAATCTTAACAGCTGGTAAACTGGCTGGGATTTCTGGGAATTGTATGACAAAACACCTGGGGACCCACAGGCTGAGAACCACTGAGCTACAGTGAAATGCCTTCAGGTTAGTGTGCACAGATTAAAGTAACTTTATGCACACCTTGTTGGAAATAAACACTATGGAATTCAGTGGGGATTCTTGAGTCAATCATTTTAAATTTGCCAGTGCAGGCTGGTCCTTTCTCAACCTACAGGAGGATTTGCTGTAATGAAAGTGTGTTTGGATACCTGTCTAGGTTTGTTTTTTTCAACTCTGTTACACATTCTAAAACATTTTAAGACTGTAGAGAGCCAAAAGCAAAAGTACTTCTTTTAAAAATAAGGCATCTTAAACTAGACAGATGATACATACTTCTCTATACCAAAGCCTTTCTCTTGAAGTGAGGGAACATCTACACTGATCATTTAATGCAGTTTCAAATCGGTAATGAAGAAAGTGGTTTAGCTGTTGAGATAGTTACACAGGAAATCACAGAACTAACTTGAGCCTCAGATAGTAATTACACAAACCACAGAGAAGTGATGCACACTAAAGGCTCTCTTTTGAGCACTTTTGTGGCAATTGGTTTGGGCACCACAATGTGAAGCTAGCTTTGAACAGTATTAAATGGTCAGAATAGATGGGACCTGAGTCTTTGAAAATGGTTCAGTAGAAAAGTCCCAGGATAAACATAGTAAAGAATGGAATAACTCAAAGAATAAATATAAAATTTTCTACTGTTTCTTCTCTTCCTAAGGAGGCATACTTTAGATAAAAGAAGAGGGTGGATGTTGGCAGAACACTGTTATTGCTGTTCTTTCGCTTGTAACCAAGCCCAACAACTGCCGCCTTTTAAAAAAGGCAAGGAAGTAAGACACACAGAGACCATCAGAATGGAAAGAAAGTTCCTTGTGTCATACAGAATGAAGAAATACATCCTTAGTGCTGTGACATTGGTGACCGGTTGTGAAACCACCATGTGGGGAAAGGACATCTGGATTGCACAATAATAAATGATGATATAATAGGTTATGTCAGAACTGTATATTCAACTATTAACACTGTTGCTTGCAATATCTGTAGAAATGCCCTTGGAACATACTGTTAGATATTGCTTGTTCTCAGAATCATTTTTATCTTTTCTTTCCAGGGGATCCTGTTGGTATGCCAGCTCGTTTAACACTAGAATTCAGTGCTTTTGATATGTAAGTAACTTATCAAAAGTTATTTAGTATGTATCTTAACGTGATGAGCAGGGATATAACCATTGTTGCATCACATTGAATATGGCCTTTGTATTACTTTCTTGTTTCTTCTGGTGTAAAATGTGTTCTAGCCTTAAAAATACAGATGTCATTCATACTTATACACAGGAAGCTGTATATTGGTTGAGTGGGTTGACTTTGGCTTTTGTAAGCCTATCTTCCCAGTGGAGTGGATGCCTCATTCTAATATTATAGAATGAGCTGTCAACCTCCTCACCTTCACTTGTAGCATGGCTTTCCATGGTGGGACCCACATGTCTGAAAAGGGCCTATTCCTTTTAATCTAGTTTTTTTAATTTTAAAAAATCTAGTTTTTTAAATTAAAACTATCTTTGATATCACTCTTCATTTATGTCTTCCATCAGAAATAGCAATCATATGTGTTGTTTATTTGTTCTGTCGCTTCCGTCTCTTCATGACCTCATGGACCAGCCCACGCCAGAGCCGTGGCCACCCCCAGCTCCTTCAGAGTCAAGCTAGTCACTTCAAGGATACCATCCATCCATCTTGCCTTTGGCCTGTCCCTCTTCCTTTTTCCTTCCATTTTTCCCCAGCATCATTGTCTTTTTCTTTCTTGTTAGTAGAAAAAAATTGTGGCATATCCTCCTCAAGGACTTTTGCCAAACATTATCAAGTCAGATGTTAAACAATAAAATCTTTATTTAACCAAGTATTTTAATGGAATTTATTGATCTGACGTATATACTCGAGTATAAGCTGATCCAAATATAAGCCAAGTCACCTAATTTTATCACATAAAACTGGGAAAACAGATTGACTCGACTATAAGCCGAGTGTGGGAAATGCAGCAACTACTGGTAAATTTCAAAATAAAAATAGATACCAACACAATCACATTCATTGAGGCAACAGTAGGTTAAATTTTTCTGAATATTTATATAAAACTGTAATTTAAGATAAGACTGCCCAACTCTGATTAAACTATTATTATAACCTCCTTCAATGTAAATGTGCTTTTGCATCCTTCCAATAATAATAGAGTAAAATAATAAATGTAATAACAGTAGTAGTAGTAGAGTAAAATAATGGAAATGTAATAATAGAGTAAAATGATAAATGCAATAATAATAATAATAATAATAATAATAAATAGAGTAAAATAATAAAAGTAATAAAAATAGTAATAACAGAGTAAAATAATTAACAACCTTGAGTCAAGTATAAGCCGAGGGGAGCTTTTTCAGCCTAAAAAATGGATGAAAATCTAGGGTTATACTTGAGTACAATAATTGAGCAAGATTATTATTATTTATTATGTTTATTTATACCCTGGTTTATCTCTCCCAAAGGAGACTCCAAGCAGCTTACAATTGAAAGCATGACCTTATAATATACAAATATGGAAACATTAAAACAGAATTAAACATAACAGTATTAAAATACAGAGTTAAAATCCATTAAAACATATTCAAAGCTAAAAATCATAGCATTCCTTCCATTTTCTTTTTGATATTTATATATGCTATGCCCTGCCCTAAAATCTGACTATGTTGACAGGTAATATAATATATACAAGTAATATAAACCTTGTTTTAAGTAAGGATGTTGAATGCATGCATAGATCATGACCTTAGGCGATCCCAATATTCTTGTGGGTCCGTATGTGGCTGTGGAGCCCTATTCTTGCTCTGCATCTTCTTCCGCAGTGAGGGCATTGGTTTCCAGGTGGAAGGCGGTCTCGGCCGGGGTTGGCTTGACGCGCCTTCCTCTTGGCACATTTCTCTTTTTCACCCTTCACTCGTGCCTCCTCAAATTCTGCAGCACTGCTGGTCACAGCTGACCTCCAGCTGGAGCGGTCAAGGGCCAGGGCTTCCCAGTTCTCAGTGTCTATGCCAGAGTTTTAAGGTTGGCTTTGAGCCCATCTTTAAATCTCTTTTCCTGCCCACCAACATTCCGTTTTCCGTTCTTAAGTTCGGAGTAGAGCAACTGCTTTGGGAGACGGTGGTCGGGCATCGGACAACATGGCCGGTCCAGCGGAGTTGATGGCGGAGGACCATCGCTTCAATGCTGGTGGTCTTTGCTTCTTCCAGCACGCTGACGTTTGTCTGCTTGTCTTCCCAAGAGATTTGCAGGATTTTCCGGAGGAAGCGCTGATGGAATCGTTCCAGGAGTTGCATGTGACGTCTGTAGACAGTCCACGTCTCACAGGCATAGAGCAGGGTTGGGAGGACAATAGCTTTATAAACAAGCACCTTGGTATCCCTACGGATGTCCCGGTCCTCAAACACTCTCTGCTTCATTCGGAAAAATGCTGCGCTTGCAGAGCTCAAGCGGTGTTGTATTTCGGTGTCGATGTTGACTTTGGTGGAGAGGTGGCTGCCAAGGTAGCGGAAATAATCAACATTTTCTAATGTTACACCATTAAGCTGTATCACTGGTATTGGAAAGGGGTTGGCTGGTGTCTGCTGGAAAAGCACCTTGGTTTTTTCAATGTTCAATGACAAGCCGAGCTTCTCGTATGCTTCTGCAAAGGTGTTTAGAGTGGCTTGTAGATCTTCTTCTGAATGCGCACAGACGACGTTGTCATCAGCATACTGGAGTTCTATAACAGATGTTGTTGTAACCTTGGTTTTGGCTTTCAGTCTGCTGAGGTTGAATAGCTTGCCATCTGTCCGATAGATGATTTCCACTCCGGTGGGAAGCTTCCCATCAACAAGGTGAAGTATCATAGCGATGAAGATGGAGAATAGAGTTGGGGCAATAACACATCCCTGTTTGACACCCGATTCCACCTTAAATGGGTCACTTTGGGAACCACTGCTGTCCAAAACTGTTGCCATCATGTCATCATGGAGGAGCCGCAGGATGTTAACAAATTTGTTTGGGCACCCGATTTTTTGGAGGATGGTCCAGAGAGCGCTGCGGTTCACTGTGTCGAATGCCTTTGCAAGGTCGATGAATGCCATGTACAGAGGTTGATTTTGTTCTCTGCATTTTTCTTGGAGCTGTCGTGCAGTGAAGATCATGTCCACGGTTCCTCTGGAGGGGCGGAAGCCATTCTGGGATTCTGGGAGGGTGTCTTCTGAGAGGGGTAGAAGGCGGTTTGCAAGGATTCTTGTGATGCTTTTCCCAGCAGAGGTTAGAAGGGAGATAACTCAATAATTTCCGCAGTCTGTTCTTTCCCCTTTTTTGAAGAGGGCAATGATGGTGGCATCCTTGAAATCTGCTGGGATTTTCTCGGTCACCCACACTTTTTCTATGAGCTGGTGGAGTTGGTGTGTCAGCTCAGGTCCTCCCTCTTTAAAGATTTCAGCAGGGATCCCATCCGGTATGCTGGCTTTGTTATTCTTTTGTTGGCTGATGGCATTGCTGACTTCTTCCAGACTAGGCAGTGCTGCAAGCTCATCCCTGGTTTGTTGTTGCGGGATTTGTGAGAGGACCTCTTCGGCCACATTGGAGCTGCGGTTCAGGAGGCTTTGGTAGTGTTCTTTCCAACGTAGTGCAATTGAGTTTTGGTCCTTCAGGAGTTTGGTTCCATCTGATGAGCGTAGAGGCTGTATCCCATGGTTTCTTGGTCCATAGATGACCTTTGTGGCTTTGAAGAATCCCTGAGCATCATGGGTATCTGCCAGGTGTTGGATTTCTTCAGCTTTCTTTTGTCCACCAGATGTTCTTGAGTTCTCTTGTCCTTCTTTGGACCTCAGCTTTTGCACTGGCGTAGATCTTTTTCTTAGCAGCACAGTTGATGTCTCTCTGCCATGTTTGGAAGGCTTTCCTTTTCTTGTCAATTAGCTGTTGGATCTCGATGTCATTTTCGTCAAACCAATCTTGATGTTTCTTGGTTTGATATCCAATAGTTTCTTCGCAGGCTGTGATGATGGAGGTCTTCAGTTTGTTCCAATGTTCCTCAACATTTTCGGGGTGTTCTGTGGGTAGATGGTCCTTGAGTGCTGTTTGGAGATGGACTCGTCTGGAGGGCTCCTGAAGGGCTTGGGTGTTCATTTTGCGCCTTGTCTTTCTTCCTTGGAGCCTGCGCTTGGGGGCAATCTTGAGAGCCATCGTTGATCGGATTAGCCTGTGGTCAGTCCAGCAGTCATCAGCACCTGTCATGGCTCTTGTGAGGAGCACCTCACGGCGGTCTCTGGCGTGTGATTACATAGTCTAAGAGGTGCCAATGCTTTGACCGGGGGTGCTTCCATGATGTCTTGAACTTGTTTTTCTGGTGGAAGAGGGTGTTGGTGATGACAAGGTTGTGTTCCGCACATTTGGTGAGAAGCAGGATGCCATTCGAGTTGCTGTTTCCAACCCCATCTTTTCCTATGGTCCCTGGCCACAGGTCGAAGTCTTGCCCGACTCTTGCATTAAAGTCCCCCAGGAGGATGATTTTGTCCTCCTTAGGTATCTCCGATAGGACAGTGTCCAGCTGACATTAAAATTTTTCCTTGATGTCTTCATCAGCATCTACTGCTGGTGCGTAGGCACTTATGATGGTTGCCTGTTGGTTTTTGGCAAGATCAATTCGGAGGGTTGAGAGTCGTTCGTTGATGCCAGTGGGTGCTTCGGTCAGATGTTTCACCAGATCATTCCTGATAGCAAAGCCAACTCCGTGCAGTCTTTGGTCTTCTTCAGGCAGTCCCTTCCAGAAGAAGGTGTAGCCTCCTTTTTCTTCCTTTAGCTGTCCCTCTCCTGCTCTCCGGGTCTCTTGAAGGGCTGCTATGTCGATGTTAAAGCGTCCCAGCTCCCTTGCAATGATGGCAGTTCTGCGTTCAGGACGTTCGCTGTCACTGTTGTCCATCAGTGTCCGTACATTCCATGTACCGAAGTTCATATTTCTTTTTTGGCTGCAGGGTGGTGACCCCACTGGACGCGGCAGTCCAGTCAGGGATGAGAGAGGCAGACTATGTTTAGGGCACCTTTTCTAGCCCCCTCCCCATGTGGGGTGAGCAGAGTGGGTCCTAAAAAGGGCTGCTCAGTTGCGGATACAGCTGCCGAACTACTCAACTGCCTCGGACCTTGAGGTAGAACGACTGAGTCCGTACCCCCGACCATGTGCCAGTCTGTGACTAGGGGCTTCCAGATTTCACAGTCCTGCCCCCGTCGCCACTCGCTGATCGCCATGGGACTTTGGTTGGTTTGTTTTATTTTCTTTGGAAGACGCCTGTGCGTGAGTTTTTTTAATGTGTGGAGGTCAGTGCACAACTGATCAACACACAGTCTTCACAGAGTGAGGTTCCACTGGTGATGTAGTTTAACACAATGACCGTGGCTTCTCAGTCTGTTGCAGCCTTCTTCCGCCTTCGCAGCCGTTGTAACATGTGCCATGTTATCCTCCGCCTGCTCTGCCGTTGAGGTCTTTGGGTCTTCGGACTGTGCTTGGTCTGGAACCTCCCCCGCAGCCACTCCTGGGAGTGCACGACTCCAGTTGTTGTGCCTACAGGTTCATCGGAACACGCAAGCCCCCTCACCACGACAAGGTGACAATCCATCGAGGGGGATAGATCATGACATAGGCAGGACCATTGAATAGAGCACATAGATCATGACATAGGCAGGACCATTGAATAGAGCACACAGTTTCAGTTTTCTATTGCTATTGCTAGTTTCCATGTAAATCAATGCAATAACACCATAACTGCATTTAAACAGAACAAAAGGCTAAGAATGTTGACTTTTGAATTAATTGTGAGTGGCATTGGCTTCTGCTTGGCTCCTCATGCTGGTATGAGTTCTTAAGGGCCGGGCTGGTAGCAAAACTGGTTAATCAGCTGCAATAAATCACTGCCGACTGAAAGGTGGCAAGTTCGAAGCCCAATTCGGGGATTAGCGCCAGAATGTTAATAGCTGTTTTTAAAAAAGCTGTTAAAAAAATGTCCAGCTCACTGTCGACCTAAGCAGTTCGAAAACAGATTTTCTCTACTCACAGCTCACAACTGTGTAACAAATTTCTACTAATGCAAAGCCACCAGCAAACACCACAATTCCCAGATTCTCTGTATTCAGATCCATTTCTTTTAAAAAGATTTTTGCCTAAAAATAAGACTGATCCTCTACTGATAAGATTGAAGATAGAGAGTTGGAATTAAAACATGAAATAGGATAGGGTGGTGTTTCTTGCCTCACTTGCATATTTTTTGACCTACAGAAAATTTGGCAAATGTCCATTTGGTGGAAAATAGTAATTACTTCAAGGGATGAGTCAAAATTGGGCAGCAGATTCAGAGACCATCCAAGTCTGAACTGTGTCTAATTGCAGCAGTAGTGACAAATCAAAAAAACAAAAACAAAAAAAACCACACAAAACACTTCTTTGCAGGCTGTCAAGCCTTATGTTCACAAATAGAAAGTGAGTGCAAATATAGGGAGGTGGGGTGGAGGATGTATCATACGCATGTTCTCTTGTATTGCATACTGAAGGGAAATGAAGTGGTGATAATCATGATTACCTATAAAATCTATAAAAGTAACTTTAAACATAAATCACTCCATAAAATAAGTGAGAATATTCTCCATTATGCTACCGAAGCAAAAGAATGTGCTTTTATTAAGAAAAAAGGGATTATTTCAAGCTATGATTTCAAGTAAACTTACAGTACACGTGGCTGAGGTTTGAATTCTGCTTCTGGTTAGGATCCGGTACATTTATTTCATTTTAGCTGATGTATATCTGGTGCCACCTAGGTCCATAACTATGCTGCAAAAAGGAGCTACTGTCATGACACTTCCCCTGTTCTTATTTATTGTCAGGAATCTTATCAGCAATATGTCAGAGAGCTTTCCTTCCTGCTGGCTTCTTTTAATTCTTGGAAAACAACACTTTCCTATTTCTCAGAGACCCTTCTCTTGTAGCCCTTTGAAATTATTTTCCAGTATGTTATGGCAGGCCCCTTTTCTGCTTCTGGGAATCTCCTTGTTTGGACTCTGAACTTGAAAGTTGACAATTCAACATGGATGACAACCAAGTCAAATTTGTCTGCTTTGTGTCCTGACGCATTTTGGCTGCCACAAACACACATTCTCTTTGCTATTACAGATTTCAAGGTCCAAAATACTTTCATTTTTTTTTCCGACAAAGCAAAGTTTTAAATGTGTTGAAGTCTTGCTGCTTCTGAAACTATGGATGGCTTTTTTTCATGTCAGGAGCAACTTGAGAAACTGCAAGTTGCTTCTGGTGTGAGAGAATTGCCCATCTGCTAGGACATTGCCATGGGGATGCCTGAATGTGTTACCATCCTGTGGGTGGCTTCTCTCATGTCCCCACATGGGATGCTGGAGCTGACAGGTGGGAGCTCATCCCATTCCCCGGATTCAAACCGCCGACCTTTCAGTCAGCAATCTGCTGGCACAAGGGTTTAACCCATTGCACAACCAGGACCTCCTGGATGGCTAAAAGTTTCTGATAGCTTATTTTTAGATCTGAGAATAGTAGTAGGAAATGTGCAGAGGGTTTGCAGAGGAGAAACTGTTCAGAATAGAAAAGGTTGTGATTTAGCACTGTACCAAATATCACCATACCAATGGAAATGTGTTTGCTGTTCCTCAGGAATGCCCCAACACCGGCGCACTGCTGCCCTGCTCTTGGAACACTGTATAACACAAATACTTTGGAATCTTTCAAATCTTGTGATAAGAAGTTTCTTCTTGATCAAGCAGCAATTGAGGTAAGATGATTGGGCAAATCCATTCACAGAAGTTCAGAACCTACATCGGTAAACACCTTCAACAATATCCTGGTTTAGGATTGCATTTCTGCTATGGGAAACTATTCACAATGTGTTCATTTGTATGCTCACAATACATGCTGTACATTTTCTGTGGATCCAGCTAAACTTTTAAGTGTCTACTGCTTTTGACCTTGATTCAGGAGATGCAGTTTTACTTTGGTATCATATTTATACTTTTCTAGGTTGTTCTAGGTTTTGTTTGTTTTTTGGGTACACGGGGAAAAGCAAATGTATGAAATGTGGAGTTTTGTGTGAAAAAACTCAAAAGCAAATGGCTTGCATAAGTTTGAAACTTGTGTTTGCTATATTACTTAAGTCCATTATCCAAAGTAGTATGTGCCATCCTAGGTAAATAATATACCCATATGTGGTGGTTTATTGTGTCCTCTTATATAGCAGTCATTATGTTACCGTGCATTTTAAAAACAAGTACATCAGCGTCTTTTCTACCTATTATTTCTAAGAAGATCTTGTGTTCTTCTTAGAAGTAATGGGTATAATGGATATATATGTGTGTGTGTGTGTGTGTATGTGTTCCATTTACACTCCTGCACTTTAGCTTGGCCCACCCCACCAGTTTCAACACTTTATCGGCAAGGTATTCTTTCTAGATTGGCACACTTAAATTTTGCACTTTCCCTCAGCTCCACTTAAGAATTCATTGCACTATTTGAGTCAACCCTGTTTTTCAGCCATGATATCATTTTAATGTTGTTGCTGATGTGATTGTGTTGTGTTTTTATTTTATTGTTTTTAATGCTCTTGTTTTACCTGTGATTTTGGGCTCGTCCCCATGTAAGCCACTCTGAGTCCCCTTGGAGAGGTGGTGGCAGAGTGTGTGTGTGTGTGTGTGTGTGTGTGTGTATATATATATAAACATTTAATTGATGCAAACCTATATGGTATATTCATAATCTTCTTAGCTACTAATATTTTTTAAGTACTTTTGACCTTTGTAGCTTTATAGGAAGAGGTTTCTGAGAATTATATAGAAATACCAAATGAAGGTTATAATTTTTTGTTTTTTGTAGTTATGCCCACAATAGATATGGCCTTGTAATGATTTAAAACTTTCTTCTGCATTACAGGCTGATGAGAAAGCCTGGGGTCTGATGAGAGAGCTTGCATTCATTTCAAATAATGTTCCTACGTGCCCTCGATGTCTTAGTAAAAAAACCAGTTCAAATCTGCAAAAGAAACAAAGCTTAGGAACATGGAACAACCCATTGGCTTGTGCATGTTCTCATTTTCTGACACACATATATTATTTTTCAGACTTGGCATTATGATTATACATAGTTGATTAAAATTAAAACAGATACACTCCAAAACATACTGTAAGAAACCATGCAATCCACTTCTCTTCTTATGGTTCCAGTTGTGTGTTGAAACTGAGAGCTAAGAATTTGAATTATGAATCAGGAAATTCTGCCTCAGATCTCTCTTTTTCTATGAACTCACATAGCTTTAGGCAAGCTACCATCCTGTGTGATGTGCTGATTACAAAGTCACATGGCTGATATAGAGGAAGAGATTTCACTTCGCTTAGTTTTGGTTCCCCAATTTGCAACAGTTGACTTTCCTTACTGTAAGGATTATGACTAATATGTGTGAAATACCTCAAATGCTGGGAAGTGGTATAGAATCTGTGATATAGAGATCTCATGTGTGACCGGGAAAAGGATATGGTTAATAACTTGTCAAGTTTTACTTATCTAACATATCTACTCAGAGGATTGTTCCATCTAGGAACTGAAGGGGGGGGGGGGCAAAGTGTGTCCAAGGGGCTGCATGTAGATCCTAAAGATTGTGTTTGCAGCCATCAATCCTTCCAGCTCTTTTGGAGTACGAAAAAAAATAACCTGCCTCTTGCAGAAGATCTTAAGAGAAGCAATTCACCTTCTAATCAGTTTGACTTTTGACCTCACTACCTCTGAGGATGCTTGCCATAGATACAGGCGAAACGCCAGGAGAGAATGCCTCTAGAACATAGCCATATAGCCCGAAAAAACCTACAACAACCCAGTGATTCCGGCCATGAAAGCCTTCGACAATAGTTTGACTTTTGTTTTTATGGTATTCAATAACTATTTTCTCAGGACAGGTAAATAATACAGATAAAAGCAAATTGAAAGCCATACAATAAATCCATAAATATATGTCAGAGCAGCATATTTTGATCTTGTTGCAAATAATTACTACTACACCACTTGATCTTTTCCTCCTCTACTTTTAGATATGGAATGCAATAACATCAGGGGATGCTGTTGAAAATCCTGTCTTACTGAACAAATTTCTCCTGTTGACATTTGCGGTGAGTAAATGTCATTTTTTAACAATGTAAAATTCTACATATTTCACTTTTGTTAAAAAAATCTGGGTCATAACACTTGTGCAAACTAATAAGTGGGCCGGGTTATGCATCCAATCTCCTTCAAATTCAAATTAATTCAAATCTCAGTCTTTCTATGAATGCTTATATTTCAAATGTCACTTTCATCGACATAGTCTTCATTAGGTAATATCCTATTACCAAATTAATTTGAATGAGAAGAATCACAATAAAATAGTTTATATAAATTTTATTTTGTTTTTGTAACTGTATAGAAGTAAAACTCAGGCAGGTCAGCACTATTCTTTTAGAAAACTTAGTTTCTGCAATGCAGAAAAATCTCAGGGTAATAATAAAACAATAAAACTTTATTTGCTTTCTGCCCTATCTCCCCAGGGGGACTCAGGGTGGATTCCAACATAATGGCAAACATTCAGTGCCTCCATAAAGCAAACAAGTACCAACATTATAACCCCAGAAAAGCCCCACATATTAAAACATTAGAACCTAACATCAATAAGTTAAACCAAACATAATCAAACAAGAACTATACAATGATGTAAAATCTGAACATAAAACATTCACATTAATTTACAAAAGCCAACTATCTTCAAAAGATTGTGTAGGTTGGTTTTGTGGCCAGAGTGGTTGTATGGGGTTCCAGGGTCAGCAATGAATCCAGAATCACCCCCAGACTGTGGACCTGCATCTTCAAGGGGAGTGCGACCTCATCCAACACAAGCTATAATCCCATACCCTGATCCACCCTGTATCGCTCCAAGAATTTGTGTTTCAGGTGATGGCTGCAGAGCCATCTGTTAGACTGTACACATCCCCAAAACTATGTGATTTGGCATTAAAGCCTTTTAAGATGAGGACTTTTCTTACTAAGAAAAAAATATTTATATGTTGGGGGGGGGGGGGGACAACCATGGACTACCTTCTCCGAGGAATGAGGAAAGAGAAAAAAGACATTTCAGATCAGCTCTTTCTTATCTTAAATATATGTGCACCTTTAGATTGAACACACTCCTCTTTTATTCCAGATGCTTTGAACTGAATTTTAAAGGAAGCTTCCTCATACACCCAAATTTCAGCATTTATATTTATTTAAATATATTACCATGATAGACCACTGCAACCTCACATTCCCACCCTTCAGGTCTCACCCGCTTCTGCACAGTGAGAAAAATAGAGAAGTTTTGAAACTTCAGATATTGGCTCCTTGGATACAGGGGTCTTACTGTTTTATTCACTTCATAATCAGAAATTTGAAATAGTAATTGGATCAAATAACCTCTTGGTTTTTTTTTCAGAAAAATTCATAAATTCTAATCTATGTTCTAATGCATTTATATAATTTCTTCTTAGGATCTGAAGAGGTACCGTTTCTATTACTGGTTTTGTTACCCTGCATTATGTCTCCCAGAAGGTATCACCTTGATTCATCCACCTGTGTGCCTTGGGGCAAAGTTCTCTCCAGCTCAGGTATTTTAAATTTTATTTATTTATCCACTTAGGATAAACTTAGCAATTCTCAGAGATTTCTGGAAAGGGGCCACATTACTCCTCATATATCAGGAAACATTATTTTTAAAGATTTTAAAAATAAAGAAATAAAAACCCTCTTTTATTTCTGCCAAATTTTTCCCTTTCCCAACTTATTTCATCCTGGGGTGAGGAGGAGATTTTTCTCAAAATTGGAAGTTACTGGGCCCAGAAAATATGAGTAAACACTTCCAAGTTTTCAAATAACTGGGGAGCTCTGAAAGGGTGTGTTCAACCCATAGCTTCACTTTTCCATGCTGTATAAGATATTTTACAGAGCTTTATGACTCATATTTGCCTTCTTGATCTCTTGGTTCATCATTGCTTCTGTAGCTGGTGAGTACAAGAGGGAATTATTGACCAAAAGTAGGTGCTTCAGGCCTCCTCATTAAATTATTTTATTCTGCCAGAATTGTTCTTTCAATCTTTTAAAGGTTATGGGAAGCTCTTATGATTTTTATGATCATTATTTACTGCATTATTTAATGTTCTGATTTCATATCTTTATTAGCTGTCTTAAGTCTGTTGTATCATAAAGTTTTGGTATGTAAATGTAAGAGAAAACCAGGTTCCCACCCTAAGAGCTAGACAAACCACATTTATTTGAGCTGTTTCAGAATGTCTTTTCTATGCTAGCCCAGCAAATATATTTGCAAAAGGAATCACCAATATGTACAGAAACCATTATGTGCATATGGCAGTGTGATTTTCCTTCACCTGCTTCACCTTTGTTTTGAGATCTGACTTCTTCCCACCTCCATCCTGTTTAGTAGGCAGATCTCTATGTAGTTTCCATATTGTGTGGTCTGACTACTGATATATAATGAAAGGTCAAGCTACTGTATTAAGGATAGTTGTTTGATCTGCTTATGTTATATTTACATTTTTAGTACCGTATGACTCCCTGTATATGTAGGACCAGTTCCCATGGTTTCAGTTACCCATACTTGACATCCTATGCCCTCTCCATGAATTTTCTAAGTCCTCCAGGTGCATCTGTCGTATTCTTCTGCTGGAAGGTCTCATTGAGTCACCGTGGAGGACTTAGCAAATTCCTAGAGAAGATACCTCTGGAGGAATTTTCTAAATCTTCCAGGAGACTCTGTGGTAGCTTCTAATGGAAGTTCATTCTTTTCAATAAGATTCACTATTATCAATGTTTGCCTATTTCTACTCTGCCTTGTACTTTTGACCTCACTCATTGTTCAAAGAGCAATGACATCAATAAAAGTATGTGAGGTGATGGTACTTTAAACTGGTACTTGTTCATTTTAATTAAACATTAAGGCTTAGAATTTTTGTTCATTTATTGAAGAAAGAGCCTCATTGGCTTTGGTGCGACTTCCCTCTGTCGGGACTTGTATAGGGCTGCAGCTTAAATACAGACAGTTCCTGAGTTACAAGCACCCAAATTACAAACAACTAATAGTTAAGAATGGGACAACTGGAAGTGAGAGAAATCTATCCTCCAGAAAGGAAATTCACTCATGGAAGAGTTCTCATGGAGAAAAGATGTCTCAGTTGAAGCTTTATCAGTAATCCTTATTTCAAAATCTAATTATTGCAGGAACAGAAAGTGAGGCAAAATCTTCTGAACAAGGGCACAGATAGCAAAACAAACACGACGGGGGTGTTAACTCTTCCCTATGCTAGCCTCTGTGTGTGTGTGTGTGTGGGGGGGGGGGGGGGGGGGGGGGGGGGGGGTGTGGAGCTACACTTAAAAATGTACTTGTTCCAACCTACAAACAAATTCAACTGAAGAACCTATCTTGTTTGTAACTTGTACTGCAACATTCATTAATTTTTTTGATGAGAAAGTAAGTCTACTTTTCTTACAAAGCTATTATATCCAAATAAAGATGTAGGTGGTCTTGGCAGGCCAGCATCTTCTTCAAGCCATTATACGATTTGTTTTGAAAAGCAATTGTTCTGCAAGGAATATCTCTGACTGTTAATGTTAATTAATGATTTCATATGACAGCTCATTCCCTTGGATAATACAAGTACAGGAATTAGTAGCTCTTTGGAGACAGCATAACTAAATGGGACATAAACAAATAGACTGAAGTTTTGTGGTGTCACAATGGAACAAATTTATTGCTGTATATTGTTTATGTTCAGATCTCACTACCTCTGAGGATGCTTGCCATAGGTGCAGGTGAAACGTCAGGAGAGAATGCCTCTAGAGCATGGCAATATAGCCCAAAAAAACTTACAACAACCCATTGTTTATATTGTTCATTTGATATGGCCATCCATCAATAAACACACTCTGGGTAGTTTGTATAGTTGTGCATTAGATTTTTATCTTAACCCTTCCTTCACAAAGCTTTTGTTTGTGATTCTCTATGTCAGTTGTTCTCAACTTGAGGGTCCCCAGATGTTTTGGTCAAAAACTCCCAGAAATCCCAGCCAGTTTACCAGCTGTTCGGATTTCTGGGAGTTGAAGGTCAGAACATCTGGGGGCCCACAGGTTGAGAACCACTGCTCTTTGTCCTTAATGCATTTTATCTTCTCAGCAGCTTGAAAGTTACTTTTAAATCACTGCATATCTTTGGAATTAGGGTTTTTTTTTAAACCACCTTTTTCTAGATGTATGCATACCACATGGAGCAAGAGTATCTCAGGTCCTGTTCCATATTCATGAGGTGACTGAACGTAGCATGAATCTTCTAGGAACAAGGTTTAATTAGATTGGACACCTAATTAAATATGAAGCTTGCACAACTCCAACACTGTGTGCTTTCGATGAACGTTTTGACTTTTAGAAATATAGTTTCACTAGGTTGGCTATTTCTCTTGGGTGATGGGTTTCTCCCAGGCTTCAATACTTGCCTTTCTTCTGTCCTGGTGAGGTCTATGCATCTTTTTTTTTTGTTGGTGTTCTGTTTGGTCTCATAGCTTATGTTTATTGCCATTTAAAAATGGGAGATGCTTTGACTTCTTTTGAAAGAGAAAGTAAGCTATACATGTTTAGTATTGATCTGTTGGGATATTCTATTGTAACATGGGAAAATCCATTAGAGCCTTAAAACAACCATGAACTGAATGCATTTGTGCTTTGTTTAATTTTAGATTCAAGCACTCCAGGATGAGTATGATAAGCTTTGCCAGAAAGAAGGTCTCACAGCACTGCCTTATTTTTTAATCAAGTATCATGAGGATTCTGTTTCTATTTCCTTGCTTAAAAACTGGGATAATTTCTTCCCTGATCCAAGAGAGAAGGTAATTTTTTTCCCGAACTTCCCAAGGTTTGAGTTCTTTTAGAAGAACTAATCTCTGTGTCTTGCTATGAAGGCAATATACTATAGCAGTATGCTATGACACCCCAGTTGTGGAATGCCCTCCTTTAGAAGACCAGTTTGTACTAATGCTGGTATCCTTCCAATGCCAAATCAAAACATAGTTTTATATCAAAGCCCTGTGAAGTCTAATGGATTTAATTGAAATGTTCATACACTTCCTGGTTTTCTATAATTTTGAACTGTTTTTCATTATTTCGCTTTAATTTGTCCAATTGTTTAATATGCTTTTAGCTTACATTATTTCCTACTTCATTATATTAATGATTAAAATGTACATAGACTTAAGATCACGGGATATAGGTCAGAAAATAAATAATAGCATTCAGTGGTGAAATCATCATTTCTCTCTTTTACTTCATTACTTTTATTTGCTTCTGTTGCTAGTTGAGTTGTAGAAAGAGGAGTGCAAGCCTAATTGGGGAGCTGGAGCAGAGGTGGGGGAAAAGGACTTTGCAGGGGATCTGTTAAGCAGGATTTGAGAAACTTTGAAAGGACAAGTTCCTTACTAAGGGGCCCTTTGGGCTAATAGCTGAAAGAGATCTGTACATGTCTATGGAACTCATGCTGGTTTTTTTTACCAGTAATTTTGTGAAGTAGAGAGGGATGTCGTAATTACTGTATGAAGGGAGGAAAGCAAAACCTACCCCTTGTTACCTCTTTATATGTATATGTGTGTTTTAAACCTCCTTGTTCCAGCTCTGATGCCAAAAGAGAGTCATAATAATTCAATGTAGACTGTTCTGTTTTACTCTTTTCCCATGCGCTAAGTATGGATTTGTAGTTTGGTCAGTAAATAACTCTATACCACCATTACACCTCTGATTAAAAGCTACCATCCGTATCCATGCCCTGTTCACCCCACCAACTCAATAGACATCTTGCTTCCTTTCGATGTTCAATGTTTTGTCTTATCTCTGATATAACAGGTTGTGTTTTTTATTTAATTTTAGTTGTTAAGGCATAATTTGTTTTTATACGTTGGGTTGCCAATTTTTGTTATTATGGGTGTATTGTTGTTGTGTTCGGGCATTGAATATTTGCCTTTTATGTTTGAAATCCACCCTGAGTTCCTCCGGGGAGATAAGGCAGGGTATAAACAAAGATTATTATTATTATTATTATTATTATTATTATTATTATTATTATCATCATCATTATCATTATCATTATCATTATTTTTATTTATTCCTGACCAGACTACAAATTCCAGGATGGCCCAGGATTCAGCCATAGCAATTAGTGTGGTATCAAAATGCTATACTTGTTAATGTGAATATATTCTAGTAGAGACTTCTCAATGCCTCTCCTTAAACTACAGATCCAAGGATTCCATATACTGAAGTCACAAAATATAAAGCAATATTAAAGTGGTATAATTTTGTAGTGCAGGAGCTCTCACACCCCTACTTTACAGATAAATATATAGGTGTGTTAAACTTAGACATGTCTAATTTGGTGCACCAGTAATTAGCAGAGCTTATGCTATGCTGGTTAGCTGTTTTCTTTATGTAGTTCAAAAGAGCAACTTTTTGACACTATTTGCTCATTAGGCAACATCTTGCTTTTTGAAGAGGACAATCACTAGTGAAATAGACTGCTTTACAGAGCAGGCTGGTCCATGAGGTCACAAAGAGTTGGAAGAAACTGAACAAATAAACAACAACAGAGCAGGCAGGAATATATGCTTTCTAAAGCCTAAGCTAACATATAGTGAAATTGTTTAGCAATTTTCTGACCTCCTCATTAAGCAAAAGCTGGTTCTTGAATGGAAATGTGCAGGTCTGATGGTGCTAGTGTGCCAATATGACTAAATGAAGTCGCAATTTTATAAGGTCCAGTTCTGTATCTCCTTCATATTCAGTAATTGAGAGAATAGCACAAACTGCAATGCAGTATGTGTTTTTAATATTGAATATACTGACTGTTAATGGTGTCTTTTTTCTATTGCAGGTGACAATAGGTGTTTACGACCCCTGTAATTTTACCCAATATCCAGGTTGGCCATTAAGAAATCTATTGGTCCTGGCAGCACACAGATGGTATTTGTTATTAGTTTTTGTTTTAATGTAGCTTTCTCCTTGGCTGCTTTCTTAGGATCTTATCCCATGGAAATTTCCCCTGTTTTCTCTCTGTTTTCGTACACTGGCAAAACGGAGTCCCACAGAGGCCATCCCATGAGGCACAGCCATTTCTGGTGGATGCCCATGGGAACCATCTTGCCAGTATGTAAAAACTGAGAGAAGACTCCATTTACAGGAGTTGGGTGTTACCCGGCTCCTGATTGAAGAAAGAACAGGGAAAGGATGTGGGATGACTAGTGATCCCCGAAGATGGACCTTGCTGGGGTAAGCCATATCCCAAGCCTTCTAAATGCTTTCCCATGCTTCTCTCCTGCCCGTGAGATGTCCCTAGATCTGTGGTTCTCAACATTCCTAATGCCACAACCCCTTAATACGGTTCCTTATGTTATCGTGACTCCCAACCATAAAATTATTTTAGTTTGGGGAAAATAGATTTTGACATTTGAGAATTTTAGTTGCTGGGATTTATACACCTACAATAAAAGATCACCCTGAACCCCACTAACAATAGAATTGGGCCAAACTTCCCACAAAGAACATCCATGCCTTGAAGGGACTCAATAGCGTGGGCCTCACTCCAGCCTCACACGCTCCCCCTCGCCCCACACATGCGCAGCACGCTCCCATGCACCAATCATGCCTGTTCTCTTCTCCTTGCTTGGAGTCTTAGAAACATTCCTCCCCTTGGCTGAGAGGCTGACCAATCACAGCGGAGGAGGGCTTTTGCAGAGTAGGGTTCGCCATCTGTTTCCAAAAAGAAAGAGAAAGAGATCTCCAGCCTTCTCTGCCAAAGCGGCTTATAATACCATTTGAAATATATGTTTCCTGATAGTGTTTGGCAACCCCTCTGAAAAACCCCCTTGTGACCTCCCCAGAGGTCCTGACCCTCAGGTTGAGAAATGCTTCATTTATTAGAATCAAGCCATATTGGATTTGTTGGGACTTATGTCTAGGCATATGCACCATACATAGGATGGGGCTTAATTTTGTTTCTGAAATGTGTAGGCTTTCCTCCTGACAGTGTGCTAAATGGATGGGGTCACCGTTGTTCTACCGGGGCAAGGAGCCACCTCTTTCAAATTCTATTCCTTGAACTGAACTGTGGCTAAGTCCATTTTAGAATGCATTTGAAAAAATTGCAAATTAACATAATGGTTCTTGGGAAATTCTCCCTTATGTTTTTTCTATTAAATCAGAGGTGAACCTTCACACTTTCTTGTACCTTGTTTAGAAGATCAGATTGGTATTAGGAATTGCATCTAGTACGCTTGTGAATTTGATATATTTTGTTGTGTCCATTAAATGATTTGGGATTAGTAGGGCTTAATAGCTATAAACCAATACACACTGGAAAACAGCTTGTTAATTCTGGCATTTCAGTTTTCTGCTGTTACAGATTTCTTGTTCTTGACAGGGGCCATCGACTCAGTTTGGTTGAAGTGCTCTGCTTCAGAGATAGGACCATGCAGGGCGCAAGAGACATCTCCCACAGCACCATTTTTGAAATAAAGCTTCCCCAGATGACCCAGAGTTCAGGTAATTCATTTTCAGAGGTGAAGTCCAGTGTTTAAAGTATTGAGTTTCATTTTAGAGGTCAACAGGAAATTTTTCTTTTCTCTTTTCTCTGATACTGTAAAAAGGAGAGCGCTGCTGCTTGTGGCAGTATATTTTAAGAGCTGCCTGACAGTAAAAAAGAACTATTCTTTCAAACATCTTGGGAAGATATGTAATTCAGGGTGAGAGTCCCATGGCCCTCCAGAGATTTATGGATTGCAACTCACATTCATTTCAAACTATTGGATACACTGGCTAGGGCTCCAGGAATTTGTAGTTCAACAGCAACTGTAGACCCACATGCTTCCTCCCCCCATTCAGTTTTAAAGTATTAGAATTTCTGCTGTACTCATGAGCCATTTGTGCTTCTCCCTCACTGTGTATCAGTAATGCAGCATTTCTAGTAAGTTATCCAAGAGAAGGAGTTAAAATGGTCTAGTTCCTGTTGCATTTATTACCACAAATTATCCTAGAGGGGAGGAGCCGTGGGTTAAACCCTTGTGCCAACAGGACTGAAGACTGACAGGTGGGAGGTTCAAATCCAGGGAGAGTATGGATGAGCTCCCTCTGTCAGCTCCAGCTCTCTATTTGGGGACGTGAGAGAAGCCTCCCACAAGGATGGTAAAACATCAAAACATCTGGGCGTCCACTGGACAATGTCCTTGCAGACGGCCAATTCTCTCACACCAGAATTAACCTGACACGGAAAAAATCCTAGAGGGGTACAGCTCTTCATTTGTTTTGGATTCTTTTGTTTGTCCTTGCAGTTACACCTTTCATGCTGCATTTTGTGTGTTCTCCATATCACTTTTCATTTATTTCCAATTTTTTTAACCTACCAATGATATTCTCAGGCACTTATTACTAGTTTCTTGGACATTCATATTATATTAGCTGGATTACCTAATGGCCCTTTTAAGATTCAAGGTGTTGATTATTTGTTTTCAAAGTTCTAAAAGCCTTGGACCTGAGTTAACATCTGGTTCTATATGAACCTGCCACTCTGATTATTTAAAGTAGTCCTCTTGCCTTTATTGCTGTCTTCTGATTTGTGGATGTAGGTAACACAGTGAAAGCGTCCAACTTGTAGAACTTGCAGTCACCCTTTTGTCGGGTTAGCTTACTTCTTCCTTTGTTCTTCTTGCATCTAAAAACATTATTTTTCTCTAGTGACTTTTTCTTGCTTTATTACTGAGGCTCGGCCTGACTCTCTCACTATGCCATTTTTTGTGTTGTTGGATATTATATAGTTCTTCATATTTATTGTTAATTTTCTTAGGATTCTTTAATTAAGACCCTTTAAATATGGCCATAAACCTTTTAGCATATTTCTCTATCTAGTGTGTTGTGACTTTGGTTACTTCGATCATAAGAGGCTCAGAAGGAGTGTGGCTTGGGCCTATTCAATAAGTTTAGTGACTAATGTAATTTTGAATATAGGTTGGATCTGTGATCTTTTGACTTCCTGCCAAATTTATTCTTACCTAAATCATATCAGACAAATACTGTTTCTCACATACATGGTATTAGCCATACACCTGTCTGATTATTGCTGCATGATTAAAGATTATTGCAGGGTATAATCTGCACTCATTTGCAAACCTCTGAAGGAAAAATATTTTAAGACATTACATGTGGACTAGAAATCCGAAAAATTGTTCAACTATACGGTGAAATTCCTTGGCTTCTCCTGCCAAAAGATGCATTGAATTGGCAAGTTTTAGTAAATATGGCTTAATTGCAGTGCCTTCATTTAGAGTCAGCTATAATTGTTTTCAATGCATTTTCCAGTTATAAAATCTACATTTTTGGACTGCTGTTTTGGAAATTGCCATAGTGACATTGGATAATTATTATGACTTTCAAATATTCAGGCTGTTAATAATTTGGAGTTTATATGAGAAGTAGGATTTTCTTATTCTTTCACATTAAATATTCACACAATATATTCCTTGCTTTAAGCAGATTGTCCAAAAGCTGTTGGATGGGAGAAAAATCAAAAGGGAAGCATGGGCCCAAGAATGGTCAATCTAAGTGAATGTATGGACCCCAAAAGGTATTTATCGTTTTGAATCTGTATAAGTGGATACTACTGTTTAATTCTGTTTTAATGCTTGCATATGTGTATATTTTAAATCATTTGGTCAAACTTTTGGTCAAGCCACTTTGTGTCTACTTCGAGAGAGATAAAGCGGGTAATAGTAATAGTAATAATAATAATAATATACATCACTGGAAATATGTGTGTGTGTTCAAAGGAAATATAAATAACATTGGTAGGTTGTTGTTGTGTGTGTTTGTTTGTGGAGGCGGTTGATTGCTTGTAAACTGCTGATTCTGCCAAATGTAATATCCACATTGAGGAAAATAATAATCCTATGTTCTGCTCTGATCAGGCTTTTATCTAGAGTACCCATTCAGTTGTGGGCATCCTGTTCTAAGAAGGATATAGACAATTTGGAACAGATTCAGAGAAGGGCAAAATAATAATAAGAAAAAACAGATGAACTGTTGCAGGAGTTGGGCATATTTACCTTGTAAAAGAGAAGACTGAGGGGTGACATGATTGCACTCTTTAAATTCCTCAAAGCTGTCATAGAGTGAGGAACACATTTTCTGCTTACCCAGAAGATAGGGCCAGGTCTAATGGTTTGAACTTACAGGACAGTAGATTTTGATTGAATAGCAGTTTAGCAGTGGAACCAATTTCCTAGAGAAGTGGTGGGTTCTCCTTTGAATGTCTTCAGAAGTGGTCCAGGCAGGTACCTACAAGAGATGCTTTAGCTTTTGAACAATCTTGGAATACTTGGAAGGAAATGCATGGACCAGCTAGTCCAGGCATGGGCAAACTTCAGGCCTCCAGGAGTTGTAAACTTCAGCTTCCAGAAATCTCAGTCAGCTAACTGGTTGTTAGGAATTGTGAGAGTTGAAGTCCAAAACACTCGGGGGCAGAAGTTTGCCCATGCCTGGGCTAATCCATTGAGTTGGACTAGATGGTCCATGAGCTTCCTTCCAACTATTCCTAGATTGTTCAATAATTTGCATTTTAAAACAAAAAGCATTTTTGAAAACTTTGGGGTATCCACTGGTGCTCTAAATGTGATGAAAGTGCTGTCCAAATTTCCTAGAGATCATTTTGGAGCTTTTTGGCTTGTTCTGGCGACAAAAATGCCTTGTGGACTGCATTTTATCCACCCAAGAATGAAGGTTTATTGTGATGCTTATTCTTTTCTCTCCCATTGTATATATAGACATTTACAGTCTAAACTAAATTCATTTTAGCCCATACTTTCTTAGGAAAAAATCACTTTTGTAATTGTATGTACCTAAATTTATGATTTTATTTTGTGCCTTGCTCTGATTGTGTTCCACATTCTTCCTTTAGTAGTTGTCAGGAGTACTGAACATTTCTAAAAAGTTAAAACTGAAAAGAGATTTATTCAAAGAAGAATAAGGGGGAGGGGAATCATATGTTCACTTTGGGGTTTTTTTGAATGCAAAGAAGAAAAGGCTGCTCCATTATATCTTTATGTTCCATTTGGTTTTTAGGTTAGCAGAATCATCCGTAGACCTTAATCTTAAATTGATGTGTTGGCGGCTGGTGCCTACCCTTGACTTGGAAAAAGTTGTGTCCGTGAGGTGTCTTCTCTTAGGAGCTGGTACGCTGGGTTGTAGTGTAGCCAGAACCTTGATGGCAAGTACTGAACCTACTTCCCAAATTCTTATGTTCAGCTTCAACGAATTCTGATATTCTACTGTTCATAATTTTCCACAAAAATTCATGAAGCAAAATCGGTAAATGAATTTTGTATCCACATAGATGAGAAATCAAGTTTCTTGCGGCTCTATTTTATCTGCCTCATTTGCTTATTGCCAAGTCTATGGAGTTCACCTTCATCAATCCCAAATATAGTCCTGAGACTAAGCTGGAACACAACAGTCTTTTCAATGATATTAAAATATTTATGTAATTATACCCTAAATGTTATGCATTATAATGAAGGTATGTTGTCTTTCCTTGAGGGAAAAAAGTTCATATAGTGTTTTTTAATTTGCAAAAGTTTAAGGATTTGAAGAAGTAAAATACCAATCTGAGATTTTAGTAAAATGTTGCAAAAAGAGAAATAACAGCAAGTGTGATGTAGTGGTCTCAGGGTTGTTGAGGATTTTGGGAAACCAGGATTCTGATCCTTATTCAGTAGGCTAAGGGAACCCACTAGGTTACCTTGGGCAAGTTACACTCTCAGCCTCGAAGAAAGGCAATAGCAAACTCTGAACAAATCTTGCCAAGAAAATCCTAAGATAAGGCCACCATTAGTTGACTTGGAAGCAAATACCAACAATGACAGCCAACAGCAGCAACAAAAGGAATAAAAATATATGCCACAACAGAATGAGTGCAATTCCCAGCATCTCTCATCATTGGCTATTTTTGTTGGGGCTAGTGAGAGTTGTAGTCCAACTATGTTTGGTAGGCTTAGCATAATGATTCTAATAGGATAAGCTGGTCTTCTCTGAGAAGTCTTAGATTAATGTCATGGGTAGTGTAAACCAATTCATGGCATTGATGAGATGTGTCTTTTACTCCAGTTCACGTGGTGTGGATTGGTATGCTAGCTGTGCTATCATATTTGAGCACTCTGTGATCATTTGAAGGACAAAAGTAATGGGGAATTGCCAAAACAGTAATTTTACTGTCAGCACTCCAAACAGATGCTGACATGGACAGAACACACGTGATCCATTCGTCTGATGTGATTTTATCTTTTAAATAATGTGAGCAGTGAGAGTATCCAGCTATGACACTATAGCAACTGTGCTATATGAACATAACTTGAATTGGGTCTCAGGTTTTTTTGTGTGTGTCTGTCAGGAGTGACTTGAGAAACTGCAAGTTGCCTCTGGTGTGAGAGATTTGGCTGTCTGAAAGGACATTGCCTATGGGATGCCCGGATATTTTGATGTTTTACCGTCCTTGTGGGAGGTTTCTCTCATGCCCCCACATAGGGAGCTGGAGCTGACAGAGGGAGCTCATCCTCGCTCTCCCTGGATTCAAACCTCCAACTTGTCAGTCTTTACTCCTGCTGGCACAAGAGTTTAACCCATCTCCTCATCATCTTCTCCTACTTGACCAGTGTCAAAACAAGTAGATGTGTTAATACTGACATTGGGGAAAATGGATGCAGCATGTTTATGTTTGTTTATTTAAATCAAGTTGCATTTATATATCATTAAAATAGTTAATTCAGTTCTTTTGGTACATTTTCTCTTAGGGATGGGGAGTCAGGAAAATCACCTTTGTAGATAATGCCAAGATCTCTTATTCCAACCCTGTTCGGCAGCCACTCTATGAGTTTGAAGACTGTCTCGGGGGTGGGAAATCCAAAGCACTTGCAGCTGCGGACAGACTCCAGAAAATATTCCCAGGAGTGGTGAGTAAAATAGATGATAAATGCAATTTAATGATCAAAACAGTTTTTTTGGCTTGAACAATGGCAAAGATTCTTCTTCCACTTGCTTGTCTAAAACCAGCTAATCCTCAAGGAACGAACATTCCTCTGAACAAATGACTGACAGCTCAATCTTTGCAACAAAGGGGTGGCAATTAAATCTGTTTATAAGAATTAAAATAAGGTTCAGATAAAAAATGCATTTAAAGGCTACTAAATCAAACAGATCTCTAGTTACGTTCATATCATCAAAGGAAAATACAATTAATAAAAAAAAATGTCTGAAAGAGACTGGTATTTTTTTTAAAGAATCTCAGCCCCCTTTTGCTCTCTATTGGATTATACATGCATATATTGCCATTATAACATTAACAAGTACACAATGAAAAGGTACAGATTGCATGTCCAGAAAAATTCCAACAGACAGGCGTACAAGGGCACAAACATGGCGCACCCCCATGTGCCATTTTCTCCTACTGGAAATCTGTAGCTAATATTTCTATTAAAATTCATTTTATGTAATAAGATTACTTAGGTGGCCGTTATTAAATATGTATTGTCCTCTAACCACTTAGTAATATTTAATTATTCCTCTTCTGAACACGGAATTTCAGTGATTTTGGTCACTTTAACATGGAGATTTTTTCAAGCTATCCATATTCTGGCTGTTAAAATAAATCTCATAATACTGTTTGGTATAAGAAAAGTGCCTATATCAGTGGTTCTCAACCTCTGGGTCCCCAGGTATTTTGCCCTTCAACTCCCAGAAATCCTAACAGCTGGTAAACTAGCTGGGATTTCTGGGAGTTGTAGGCCAAAACACTTGGGGACCCACAGGTTGAGAATCACTGGCCTATAGATACAAGTGGCGTCTCCAGGCCTGTTATCAAGAAGAGACCAAGTGTGCTTATGGGACTGCAGTAGCCATATAATGATGCCTTTTATTCAATCCTGGCCCCACCACAAATAAATCTTAATTGTGTTCCTTGTTCTAAAGTGTGACAGACTGATTTGCAAGGGATCATTACATTAAAGTACATGTAGTCTTCACTCATTTGAAAATGAGATAAATTACCCGTTTCCCTTTTTGGGGAATCTGCCCCACTCCTGGGCTGTACCGACACCTTGAAGAGTTATATTGTCCAGGCTTTGGGTGTCCTTTAAAAGGAGATCCGTTTTCTATATAAAATTGTCCATCATAGCAGTGACAGACTACATGGAGATTTTTTTGTTAGCTGCTCCTTCTTATGTTCTGACAGCACAGCTGAGGAATAGAGGGTGAAGAAAACCATTGCTTTTTCTAATGCTATGTTCTGCCTAGACTTGCCATCGCAGTGTCAAGCTAATGATGAAGTATGCCTCTCTTGAAAAGACAGTGTCTATGTTGCATGAAAAGGTCACAGATTAAAATGTATGGTGGATTGCTGCTATAATTATGGCAACTGAAGGTTCTGTGTTCCCTCATAAACACTTTGCTGATGGTTTGTGATGGACTCATTTGGTCTTGACAAGAAATAAATCCCAATTTGAGTACATCGAGTTAAGCTGCTCTGTCTCTCTCCTGCTGATTTCCCCCCTTTTCAGCCATGACTCATTTCTGTGTCCTAGTTTGTCTGGCAGTTCCTGCTGGTATCATGCTTCCTCTTCACTTACCCAAATACAGCAAGCTATCAGTTCCTTTAGTTCCATCATAACCAATTTAAACTCCTATTCATTACTTTTCTTATGCTTAAGGCGAATTTTGTATAAGATGGGCAGATTCAAATAATAAAGTTCATGTAATCCCTCTTTCAGGGATTATATAGAATAGTTTGCCTAGGCAACGGCCAATATCTGCCCATAGAAATGGTGTAATTGTAATTTTGTATTTCTTTTTTCCACTTTAGGTAGTGGAGAATTAATTGGCCATGAAATACTTTTGTGGTTTAGGCACATCAGGATTGAACCAATGTTCATTATATAAGTACAGTGGGTAGAATTCACATTTTGTAGAGTGTTTCCAAAATATACCAAATTCATGTGAACATTTTTAGAGGAATAAAAAAGTGCTGAAGATATGCATTGTTTTGCTGTAAAATGTCATTTTCAAAGCCCTGTACTGAAGTGATTGGATTCAAGTTGATCTTAATCTGTACATAATATTCTACTCCTAGCCAACAATGTACTGCCACCTATTACCTATTTTTCAGTTGTTTAGTGTATCCTATACATCATGTGCAATAAAGTGGTGGAAAATGCCTCTTACGTCAGCTTTATTTCACAAATACTGCATTGGGTACAATTTTCATGCGAGGCAACATGAATTAACAATAAAAGGCATTTTCTTGTGCCATCTGCTGGTTGATAAACCCAATTACACTAAAAGGGAGATGTTTTTATTTCTTGTATGTTTAGGCTTTTAACTTTATTTTTAATGCTGACTTGTTTCTTGTTTATGTGTGTCCCCAAATAACAATACGATTGGATGTCCTGGAAAATTTCCCACTTGTGGCAGTACTTTTCCACAGTGGTGAGATGGTTAGTTCCTGTGGGGCAAGAGACCATGCTGATGGCAGCAGTGCTCCCAATAGGGCCTGCCATGTCAGACAGTCTTTTGCTAGGAAGCCAGACTAAATGCTCCAAAGGAGCTACTGGGAACAACTGTCGTGGAGGGTGACAGTGGCATAGGATTTCTCTGAGACAGTGGCAGTGGCACTACTTGTTAGTACTATGCAGGAGGAGTCATGGTAAACTCCCTTTGAAAGGCTTTTCCTACAACCCCCCCCCCCCCCGCCCCATGGTGAGACAATATACAACCAAGCTATAGAAAGTTCTAGGAGATGAAACTCCCAAGTTGGACACCAGTCAAAGAGCTGCTGTGAAGAATGAATTGGGAAGCTAGTAAAACAAGGAAGGTCAGTAGTTCGAATCCGGGGAGCAGGGTGAGCTCCTGTCTCTCAGCTCCAGCTTCCCATGTGAGGACATGAGAGAAGCCTCTCACAGGATGGTAACACATCCTGGTATCTCCTGGGCAATGTCTCTGCAGACGGCCAACTCTCTCACACCAGAAGTGACTTGCAGTTTCTCAAGTCGCTTCTGACATGATAAAAAAAATATGTTGACCAGTATAGAAATCAAATAGACTACATAATTGGAAGGCATGACAGATTTGTTCAAGAAAGAACCATTTTAAGATGACTCTACAACTTTAAAAAATGAATTGCAAGCTGCACTTAGAACACTTGAGAGAAATAAATCACCAAGAACGGATGGCATGCCAATACAGCTGCTTCAATCTACAGAGAAAGAATCTACTCTAGTTCTCACTAAAATATGTTAACAATTATGTAAAACAAAAGAATGTCTACAGATTGGAAGGACTAAATATAGGTCCAAACCCCAAAACAGGGGACACCAGGAATTGCCATAACCATAGAGCCATGCAAGCAAAGTGATAGTCAAATTTGTACAACAAAGACTTGTAGTGATGCCAAATGTTCAAATGAGTTCATGCAAAGAAGAAGTACCTGAGATTATATGTTAGATAACAGAACAAACCAAAAATTTCAGCCTGTGCTTTATATATTATGAAAATCTTTATCAAAGAAAGCTATGGATCAATGTATTGTCGAAGGCTTTCATGGCCGGAATTACTGGGTTGTTGTAGGTTTTTTCGGGCTATATGGCCATGTTCTTAAATCCTTGCATTAAACCCATGTCTCCTGAAAGACAGAAGGTAAAGAATCACAGAAAGGATGGATTCTTCAATCCATGCCCTAAAAATGACAGAAAAGGGGCCCTTGTAAGTTCACCATTGCCGCCAATGGTCCAGATCTTCCTGGATCTTTTAGTTGCCAAGCCAAAAACAGCTTTTTTCCATTAGACAATTTTGGGGAGGCCCCCAAAAACAGATCTGGGTACCCACCAAAATTGGGATACCAAAAATGGATCACGGTCCAGCCAAATTGCTAAACTTTACTGGTCACTCTGACACTATTACACCAACTGGTGGTGAGAGAACCGGCTGAAGGATTGGGTAGTAGTGAAAGGGCTACCCAGTACCATCTAGTCAACTATAAGGCAGTGCCCTGGTGGAAGTAGGGTGCTACTGAACTAGCCATCTAATTGGCCTGATTGACTGGGAATACACCCATTGACTAAGTGTTAAGTGATGTTGTAGTAATGTCTTATAATTTGTCTTCAGGGTTTTCTTTTCTTTTCTTTCTTTTGGTAGTTTTTTTGTCCCAATATTGTTGTTTTTAATTCAGTGTATATGGAAACTGGGGCAGCAATACAAGTTGTGTAGGACAGTGGGCAATATGGCAATGGCAGTGTCACATTTTCTTACAGAGAAAGGTGTTTAATATCTATATCACCTTCCAGTCACCCTGCCAGCCTGGAGAACTTGGAGCATATCTCATATCATCTGTGATCTCCTCAAAGATGATGGTGTTGACTTTTACATTGGACCATATTTGTACCAAGTTCGGAAACTCTAGTTGGTTCTAAATACAGCAGCCAGATTGATTACAGGAACATCTAGGAGTGGGCCTATACTAAAATCATTCCACTGGCTGCCAGTTAGTTTCTGGGCAATGTATAAGGTGCTGGTTGTGACCTTTAAAGCCCTACGTGGTTTGGATCCAGGTTACCTACAGGATCAATTTCTCCCATACATTCTAAAGTACACTGAGGTACTTTGGGATGTGTCTTCTCAACTGGCAACCATCATCCAAAGGACATATTCATTGGCTGCCCCAAGACTGGGGAACAACCTGCTGGAAGAGCTTCATCTGCTCAATGAGCTTTCAAAATTTAAAAACTATCTAAAGACCTATCTCTTTCAGCAGGCTTACCCAGCCAGTTTTAATCATGAATTTTTAACTTATGTCCTGGGTTTAAATCTCTGTTTTCTATAACATGTGTGTTATAGAAATGTGTTTTAATATGTATCTTTCATAAAAATTACAATGTTTATGTGTTTTAACTTTGCTGTAACCCGCCTTGAGCCATGAGGAAAGGTGAGTAATTTGAAATGTTGTGAGGGAGAAGAGTTCTGTGGGTACTGTGAATTCTTAAAAAGTTACATAAATGAGAGCCTTCAACAATGCTTCAAACAATGCTGGAGCAAATCAAGTTTGAATTCTCCCTAGAAGCCAATGACTAAACTGAAACTGGCATCCTTTGGATATACCGTGAGAAGGTGTGACTGATTAGAAGAGACAATAATGCTAGGAAAAGGAGACAGCAACAAAAAAGGAAGACCACATTAAATCAAGAAAACCAAGATGTGAGCAGTTCTGTTGATGATAGGGTGACTTGGAGGTCTCACGTTACCACAGCAGTTAACATCAACAAGAAAACATAGTCGTTGAAATACTAGATTTAAAATTGTGTAATTAGGGTGTTCTGAAATACTCTGTAATTCAACACTGACATATATAACAAGGAAAAGTAGTGTTTGTTAATCTCATGTTTCTGTTCTAACCATTTTGTTAACAAATAATGCTATTTTTTCCAGTGATAGTGAATGCAAGCTACACAAACCTTTCTGTTTCAGAGTTGGGAGAAATTAAAAAGCAAAATCACACATTATTTTCCTTAGCATTCTCTTGCTTGATACTGTTTGCTCTCATTTTTTAGTCATTTTTTCTCTGTGTGCCCAGCACAACTGTGCTTCTCTAAGTGCTGTATTAGCTTTGTTCTCAGGAAGTGATTACTCTCCATTTTTAGTTGATATAACAAGGCAGAGTTAAGGTTGTTTCAAGAAACTGTCTGGAATTTGGGGTTTTTTTTTCAGGGGAGTGGGGGTTGTTATAGAGTTTGAGGTCTGGATGGAGTAACTTCCCAAGATTCATTGGTGAGGTGTGTGAAAAATTGCCACAGAAGAGGGAAATTTCCAGAGCATTCGAAATGAAGACAAACGATAGAGGGAGATGCTTTTTGCTTTCTTGACAGTTGTGTTGTGGTGACACTAATGTAGTGCCATCTTTGCAGTACAGCAATTATACTTGCTGGTACAAGAATTCTAATTGCGTAAAATTTCACTCCGTCAACAAGAATACTGATTTGCCTTTGATGCAAAGTCTGTGTGGATCAGTGACAGTAACCCAATCTGTCAAGAGAAATTGCACTCCTGGCAAAGCTATTAGTGCTTACATCAATAAATCCCTTTTTGTCATGCTATTAACTGGCATTAACTGCTCCTACAGCATCTTTTTGTTACCTCGGATCCTTTGAAAATGGCAGTGACATTCTTACAATGTTTTTCATTTTATTGGATCTACATTTCCCTATAATAGTTTGTTTTCTTTTAGAGTGACACCTGTTCTTTTGGATACTTGTTCTTTGAGCTTATCTAATCCGTTGATTTGCCATTATGTTATAACTGTTCTGTACTTGAAAATGCGGCATGAGGTTGAAGTCACCACCACTGATACCTAAAGACATCTGAAATATTGCCTGATTTTTTGTTACATTAGTTAAAATAATTATGGCAACATTGCAGATTGGCAAGGATCCTCCAATGTAAGGTGTAATTACTTCAAATAAATCAAATAACAAAGAGCTTTATAAATAAAACACAGAAATTGACTGACTTGTCCTGTGTGGCAGATTCTCTTTCTCTTAATCTCTCTCTCTCATGGTTGTTTCCTTTTTAGAATGCTGAAGGTTTTAATATGAGTATCCCAATGCCAGGTCACCCAGTGAATTTTTCTGAAGTTACACTTCAACAGGCTCACAAAGATGTAGCACAACTAGAAGAGCTTATTGATGCCCATGATATCATCTTTTTGTTAATGGACACCAGGGAAAGTCGATGGCTTCCTGCTGTTATTGCAGCCAGCAAAAGAAAGGTATGGTGCATGTTCTCCAGGCTCCATTCTATTAGTTTTCTAATAGAAGTTCAAAACAATTGCTAGATGATCGCAGAGGCTGTCCTTTACATCTAGCTTAGAAAACCACTTATTATAAACAGTGAAATGCCATCAATTTAAGTCCTACTGATGTTTTAGAACAGTGGTTCTCAACCTGTGGGTCCCCAGATGTTTTGGCCTCCAACTCCCAAAAATCCTAACAGCTGGTAAACTGGCTGGGTTTTCTGGGAGTCGTAGGCCAAAACAGCTGGGGACCCACAGGTTGGGAAACACTGTTTTAGAAGTTTAAATATTATTTTTAAAATGGCATTTCTCACTCACATTTGTAGTAAAGCATCCAGAGGCATATTTCTATATTCCTTATCTGATCATGAATAATGTGAATTGGGTCAAAGTAGAATTTTGATCAGGGCTTCTGCTGTTTCTCTTTTTTTACCTTTATTTTTGCATTTTATATTTTAATTTGAAATGGAATATTGCAAACTGCCCGTATTATTTTTGCTACAAGATATAAAGCCTCTATTGAATAAAATGTTAATAATGAATTAATCCCATATATTTATCTGCTTCTGTTTGCACTCTGAGGGCTCATTGTAGTTGCTTGAATACTACTACTACTACTACTACTAAGAAGAAGAAGAAGAAGAAGAAGTCGTAGTAGTAGTAGTAGTAGGGGACCCAAAGCGGCTTACAACATATTAAAATAATATAAACAACAATCCATATACTAAGGTTGCTGGAAACTGCTACTATAGTGGTTAGTTTCCTCTTGATCAGTCTCTTTCCTAGGAAGCTTAGAACTTCCCTTCATTTTTAAATTAGATTTTTTTAAAGCTATATGTAAGAATAATTCACTAACAAAGAAATAATTAGGAATGGTATGTGCCCAATTTTAAAAAGTTTAAAGACATGTCCAGAATGACATATTTCTGGTCCAAAACTTTGAGAAAATACCAAGATCCAGGCGTGATCTCAAAGCAGATAAGATGCATATCTAAGCTTCTCTTTTGGATAAGACATTGTACTTTTGTCAAAGTAACAAGCTTTGTGAAAAACAATGATTTCAAGTTTTAAGTCATAGCACCAAGCCATGTTTGGTTGCTATGTTAAAGACTCTTTAAAAACCATCTGGGAAATACTCAATTTCCTTTCTTTGCAAACAACTCCTGCTCTCCCTTCTTATACCAAAATTAATAAATGGTGCTTTATGTTTACCATGTAAATTAAGATATGAAACAAGAATCAAGCTACATTTTCCAGTCCTGATTTTTCTCAAGTCCAAACCATAGCTTTCATTTCTATTGTAACATTAGATTGTGGCTTGCTACAAACCAGCAAAGCAATTGCAGTGTATGAAAGCTTCAGGCTCATCTACATAGTATCACCCTATTGTTTTGACATATCTTCTTTCTTTGCCTTTCTTTTGTAAATAACATTTTAAAATATTGGCATAGTATAATAAATGAATTTTGCTCTTTTTCTTTGCATTTCATTTGAATATCTATCTCTGTGCTTTATAATATTTTATCCAGCTGGTCATCAACGCTGCTTTGGGGTTTGACACATTTGTTGTAATGAGACATGGACTAAAGAAACCAAAGCATCAAGAGGTGGGCGATTCTCCTTGTAATAATCCCTGTGGCTCAACTGATCTTTTGGGATCATCACTCTTCTCAAATATTCCTGGTTACAAACTTGGTTGTTACTTCTGCAATGATGTTGTTGCACCAGGTGATGTAAGTAGACTTCATGTCAATTGTTGCTCATTGAGTTTTGTTCGTTGTTTTTGATTTTTAAAATGCAGTCTCTTAGTTAGCCTGTTAACTAAGCCTGTTAGTTTTTTGGGGGCAGAATCCAACCAGATTCCAGCAATTGATTATAGGCTGCCATCAACCAAACAAGAGGGGGGGGGGAGGGGGGGTTCAATCCCTATTGATTTCCCCTCTTCCCTGCAGCCCCATGTTCTGTTTGTAGAAGGAAATAAATCTTATAGTCCCATCAATGCCAATATAGGAATCGATTTTTGCACTTGTTTTCAATGAGTGTTTTAAATGGTTTGTAGATTATTACGGTAAAAAATTAAAAAGTTTGGAAGTGACCACTGCATTCCTTTGTAGTCCACCAGGGACCGAACATTAGATCAACAGTGCACAGTCAGTAGACCAGGATTAGCTATGATCGCCGGAGCACTTGCTGTAGAGCTAACGGTGTCCATTTTACAGCACCCAGAAGGGTAAGTTATAATTGTGGGAAAGGGGGTAATGTTTTTGCATTTTAAAATGGATTGTCAGTTTTCTTGCAGTTAATTAACTTTTTTAACAACAACCATGTAGTTGAACTCTTTGCCATGCAGGAATACAGAATTACAGAGTATACGGTATGTTTGATGTAGAAATGAGCATCATGTACAGATCAAAGGCAGATTTTGGAGCCAAATTATGCATTTTGATATGATCTGTGTATAATCTGGGAGTAATTCTGGAGAGAGGGAAAAGCACCACCAATGCCATAAAGAGCCATCTGCTGCCACTGCCATTTTCCTTCCCAAACATTTTAAAAAGAGGGTGGTTCCTTTATTTTTGATAAAAGTTAAAGCATGGTATTATTTTTTTGGAATTCATGCCCCTCTCTGAGTAGAATGACAAAAGGTAAAAGCTTAGTTTGTCCTGTGAGATCTTGAGAAGAAAGGAGACCAGGGAGAAGGAAGAGGAGGAAGAAAGTAAGACAAGTGGCAAGGAAGGGATAGCTCAAGAGAAAGAACACTAAACAAGCAAGGAATATGAGGGGAGAAGGAGGAAGAATTAAGGCAAGAAAGCCAAGTGTCTTTTAAAAAGAAAGAAAAGCAAGGCAACTGTGGAGAAAAAGGAAGAAAAGAGACTTCCTGCTTAGGAGAACACAGTAGTGGTGGTTCTGCTGCTTCCTCTGCAAACTCTTGTGAAATGTTTGAGGGAAATGTGAACTGTCTGGAAAGGAGAGGGAAATAAACTCTGCTTCCAACAATTGCAACTGCCTAAAACTGAATCTGATTAACTTCAACAAAAAACACTCCAGAACTTCATTTAAAACTGCATTATTGTGTGTGTGTAGAGTTACTTCTATTATGTCAAACCCAGTGTAGCTATTTAAGACATCTATACTGCTGACCAGTTTAAATAAATCCTCAGATTTCTAAAACGTTTAAAGGAATCAGATGGATCGATCCCTGTGTAGAATTATTGCATTGGCATTAAACATTAAATTTCTGAAGACATTCTTTTTTCTCAAACTCTAGGATTGGCTCCAAACTTTGTCATGTTCCTAGACAATTCATTAATGAATCTTGAGTTACTTATGACTAATCTAACAAGTATCCGTTTTATGAAGAGTTAAGTTCTTAATATGACTAACTCTAGAGACATCCCTTAAAGCAGATGTTAATCTTACCTCCCAGGTTTTCTCTTTGTATGATCCAAAATCAACTCCCTGGTATGAATCTGAAACGAGATTTATTTTTATTTATTTTGTAGCAAAAGTATTGCATAAATTAGCATAAAACTGACAAAGATAGAAGGAGCACATTTCTGAAAAGAGATGTAGAGCAATGTTCCTCAGACAACCTTCCCATATATATTTTTTTCTAGTGTGCCAAGAACTGATACCATATTGCCCTCATTGAGTACTATTAATTGCTTCTGTCCTGGAAATTCACTAGGGACCAGCAGCCAATTGTTTACGTCTGGTCCAGATACTTCTTCTTTGATTGACAGTGATTTAGAGGAGCTCATTCTAAATTTAATTTATGCAAAAATTATTAACTGGATCATTTTTCACTTTTGGGTTAAATTTCAAGTTCTTCAAAGTAGACAATTATCCCTGCTTAACCTTTTCCTTTTGATTTGATTTGTTAGTGGCTATGCTGTTGCAAGTAGTAGTGATGACAGAATGAATGAACCTCCCACCTCACTTGGGCTCGTGCCTCACCAGGTTAGTAAATCAGACAGAAGTAGCTGTATTTCTTTATCCTTACATGACCAATAGGTAGATAAGTAGTAATATAGGATATGCATAATATTGAAATGTCATCTCATCAGAAATGGATACAATTTCACTTAAGGATTATGCACTGTGTTACTCACTACTGATTTTATGAATTGAGGCTGAGACAAATTTAAATTGGTTTAAATTGTATAGCTATGAAGAAAGATGTCGTATTGACATAATCCTTCTGTCATTCTAGACTTGAAATTCTGGCTTAATCAGAACCTCGTCCTCCTACTTCATTCGTCCCATTGCATGGGTGGAAAAACACCTGGGTGCTTAAACATAGTTTCCTAATCCATGCTAACTGGGAAGAGGGACTTGCAAACAAGTTTGAAACAAAATCTAGCTTGTTTGGCAGAACCTAAACACAGTTTCCCATTAGTTTCATATGAGACAGAATCTTCTAAGCATGTCTAATATGAAGGGAAGAGTCAATTTGGAGCAAAAGGGCTTTATGTACCTGCACACTGCCTATGTATGTCCTAGTGTCCTAGGCAGGATTTAATATTGAAATGTACTGTATAGCTGCAGTGGCACAGCAGGATAAACTACTAAGCTGCAGACTTGCTGACTGGAAGGTCAGCGGTTTGAACCTGCAGAATGGGGTGAGCTCCCATTGTTAGCCCCAGCTTCTGCCAACCTAGTAGTTCAAAAACATGTAAATGTGAGTAGATCAATAGGTACCGCTTCAGCAGAAAGGAAACAGCACTCCATGTAATCATGCTGGCCACATGACCTTGGAGGCGATTACAGATAATGCCGTCTCTTTGGCTTAGAAATGGAGATGAGCACCACCCCGCAGAGTCAGACACGACTAGACTTAATGTTAAGGGAAACCTTTACCTTTACTTACTGTATATGCAGATGTGACCAGACACTTGAACAGAGACTCCTGTGATACAGACACTTGAACAGAGACTCCTGTGATACAGACACTTGAACAGAGACTCTTAATGTTAAATAGAAGATTGTTATTGAGTATCTATGTAAATTTCTCACAGAAAAACTGGACAAATGTTCAGCAGCAACAAACTGAAAATTCAAATTGATACTTGACTACCCCATTCACCGATTATAGTTTAGATTTAGTACTGATTGCAAAGCCAGTTTTAGATACAGTCCAGAGTTGCCCTTCTGTGAGTAGAAACTATTTTCTGCATTCTTTTTCTGACTTTACACATATTTCTTGTTCGAGAAAAGGAAATCCTGATATGTGCTTTTTTGTGTGTGCCATGTGTTGCACTCTCCTCTTGTGCAAAGTGTCTAGATGTGTTGTTGCACAGTCATGCATGTTGTGTCCAAATTCAGGCTAGCACAAACCCCACACAACTATTTACAGAGTGAGGCTACTCTTCTGCCTCTCTGTTCTTTGGTTCTAATCCATTGCATTAATAATACACTAATTATCCCATATGTAAACTTATGTTTTTTCACAAGACTTGTGGTTGGCTTTAGATACTTGGGTTCCTAACTCTTAGTGAATCCAGTCCCCGTTAAGCAATTGAGCCACTCGCATTCAGTGAAAGAAGAACTCACAGTAAAGGACATAACCTTTTACTCTTTCAACTAGGAAATGGATTGAGATTAATCAGGCCAATTTTCCTCTCTTAAAATATATATTACACAGAGGGATGAAAAATCTTGTCAGTTTTTGTTGCAAGAGTCACTTGCACAATAGTGCTCAATAAAATTATAAGATGTCATCCTATATGGTCAGGATGTTTTTTCCTCCTTTATATCAACAAATGGCTTCCTGCTGGCTAAGAATATGTAATTCTATCCCAGTTCTATTTGCAGATAGCATATCCGTTCAGAATTAAAAGAGGGTGATCCCTTTGGTTCAGAATGTTTTGTTTTTCTTGCTTTTTTCAATTAGGGGAAATATAAATGGTACCCACAGCTAATCAGCCCCATCTCTTTTGCACTCAATTCTCTCTCGCCTAATCCAAGTCCTTAGCTTTATTTTCTTTGTGTTTTAAGGCCCTTTTGCAGTGCCACAGTCTTCTCAGTATCTGAAGGCTCAACAAGTTTCAGGGTCAGGTTAGGTACAAATGCATAGAGGTTTACTGAATGAAATATTTTTATTTGTTTTCCTCAGTTACAGAAGTGTCTGGTATTTTAATTTTGGGGCCTTTCTTCTTGTGTGATTCTATTGAAATTTCTGTATATATTGTAGTAGGCACCTAAGCCTTAAAATGCCTGCTGTTGCAGTTCACTGAAGGGAGCAGGAGAACAGTGAGACTTGCAGAAGCACAAGCAGACTGCAGATGCATTCATGACTTGTAGATTTTTCTGTCATAAAGCTGCAATCTTCTGCACAGTTAGTAAAAAGCGCAAGCAGATTGCAGATACATTAGTTAGTAAAAGCAATGCCCATTGATCTAAATGGGATTTCCTTCTGGATGAGCACACTCTGGATTTTCTGTAGATTGGTTGTTCCAGTAGTTTTAGTGGAAGGAGTAGTGCTTATATGGGATTAGATTGGTCACTTAATCCTTTTCTTGCCATCATACCTATCTTGCATCTCTTGCACACTACACAATTACAGCATTTTGATGCCACTTCAACTGCGTTGGCTGCATCCTATAGAATTCTGGGTTTTGTTGTTTCATTGTTCATTTAGAATTCTATGCCAAACAAGATCTAGGGTCTCACCAGACTTTAAATCCCAGAATTCCATGGATCGTAGCTGTGGCAACTGAAGTGGTTTTAAAGTGCAATAATTGTTCAGTGTGCACAAGGCTTGATTTTCTTCAATGTCTCAATATCAGGTTGAGCCAACTATTCCTGGCTCAAAGTGTTTGCTTTATAATGTGGATGATGAACTTGGTTTCGTTGAATGGATGTGGTCTGCAGAGTCACTATGCAACTTGCTGCTCTGCTCTGCTCTGCTCTGGGGGTTTCACTCCTCTCTGTGGCCCTTTCCCCCCACTGCAGAGCTATAGCCTCAACTCAGCAAATACATAGAGGTGAATTTTCTTTCCCTGTGATTCCTCCCTGTCCAGCTGAGCAGCAAAGAACCTTCCCTTGGTAACCCTCACATTACATGGAAATATTGTTTTGTTTTGTTTTTTTCTATTAAAGCACTAGCATCTTTCTTACTGAACAGCATGGAAACAGACTTGAACAAGAGAGGACTCTTTTCCCCATGAGCAGGAAGCTCTCTTTGTGAGTGCAATATGCCCTGTGTATATGGATGGAGAAACAAGGCGTGTCCAACAGATGGCCATTCATTCGCTGTTAAAAACGCTGAGGCCATGTATTGCACTGTCAAACAGTTTTAACAATCAGGAAGCACTTTCTAATATTTAGGTGGAAATTCTCTTTCTATAGTTTGTATCTATTGCCCTGTGTCCTAGGGGCATTTTTGGAATTTTTATCATTTGTTTTTAGCTTTGATTTTATGTTACGATGTATATTTTAAGATGATGTGAGCCACCTTGAGTCCACCTGGAGAAAGGCAGCATAGAAATCTCCTAAATAATAATAATAAAATAACAGGGTGCATCTACACTGTAGAATGAATGTATTTTGACACCACCTAACTGTCATGGCTCAATGCTGTGGAATTATAGGAACTGTAGTTTCTCTGCCAAAGAGTGCTGGAGCCTCACCAAACTACAAGTACCCAGACTGCATAGCATTGGAGTCAGGCATGTAGGGGGGGGGGGGGGAGCTTTGGGGGCTTCCCCTCCCCCCAATTCTCATGGTGGTCTGCAAAAAGGCCTTACTGGTACATTATTTAGACTGGTATGTTTATTCATATCATGATCTGATCACCATGCTCAATATATCCCATATGCATGGGGGTATTGGGGTAACGATACAAAAGGTTTGCTAGGGTAGACCCTCTTTCACTCAGACTCAGCCCCCCCCGCCCCCCCCCCCCCCCCCCCGAATCAAAATCCTGGCTACAGGCCTGATTGGAGTGGTTTCAAAATGCATTCATTCTGCAGTGTAGATGCAGCCTTGGTCGTAAGCAACGCAATATAAGCTCGCTCTATCTTCAGTAAGACATTCTTTCAAATATTTGAAGATGGCTAACATGTTTCAATCTTTTCTCCAGGCTAAATATATCCAGTGGCCTAATCCACTCCTCTTAGGGCATGTTCTCCTGACCCTTTATCATTTTGGTTGCCATCCCCTGGACATATTCCAGTTTGTCAATATCCTTCTTGAATTATAGATTAATAGTCCTTCACAAACTTACATAACAAAACAAAAATGAGCTACACTTAAGAGACCAAATGTAACAGGGTTGTTACATTACTGGTACTGCTGCTCTGTCCATTCATAATGAAAGAGAAGTACTAAAAAAAAGGATCTGCTTTATTGGCCCATGCTATCAGATTACCTTCACCTCCCCAGGTGTTACCAAAGTAGGAAGTCTGTAAATTTTGTATGTACATAAGAACATTCCTTTACTATGTCAGACAATAGGAAGGTGTGCATCCTTTTCACCTAATAATTATTTGCTATACAACATGATTTTTAAAAATTGTGTTAGAAGAGACTTGAGAAACTGCAAGTCGCTTCTGGTGTGAGGGAATTGGCTGTCTGCAAGGGCATTGCCAGGGGACACCTGGATGTTTTACCATCCTTTGGAAGGCTTCTCTCATGTCCCCACATGGGTAGCTGAAACTGATAGACGGGAGCTCACCCGGTTTCACAGATTTTAACCACCAACCTTCAGGTCAGCAGTTCAGACGGCACAAGGGTTTGTACCACCAGGAGAGAACATGAATATTTAATAGTACTTTCCCCTTATTCTGCTTTCAGTTTGTTTTTTCTCCCCTCTTTTTATTGTTACTTGTTGCAGTCATTAAGTTTGAACTCCAGATGGCACTGTGTTCCCATCTGTTGTCAAACTCATGTTGAATATCCCATATCAGAAATGCTGGGTTCTAAAAGTCTTTTGTGTTTCAGAAATGTTTTGGATTTTTTTTTGATAATAAGGCATATTTACAATATGACCCAAGACTGAACACGAAACTCCTTTATCTTTCATATAGATCTTATAGGCTGAAGATAATTTATGTTACGTTTTAATAATTTGGTATATTAAGCAAGCTTTGTATTCATTGAACTATCAGAAAGCAAAAATGTCAATGTTTCAGTCATCCATGTGGAAAAATTTGGATATTGAAGTATTTTGCATTTTGGAATTCCAGATAAGGGATGCTCAGCCTGTAATACTGCTTATTAATCATCATACCTGTAACCAAAATGCACAGGCGACCTACTCTATTTCTGCAGAAAGGTCTATTGAAGCCCATGTGCTTTCATCACTGAGAGGAGACATACTAACTGCTCTTTCTTCAACAGGAGGTGCTTGTCAAAACTTTAGTGAATACAATATTATTGGTAACATAATATTGCTGAATATCTTTTTATTTTACAGATTCGAGGCTTCTTATCAAGATTTGACAATGTCCTTCCGGTCAGCCTGGCTTTTGACAAGTGCACTGCCTGTTCTCCCAAAGTAAGTAAAAGAGCCAGTAAAGTGTATTGCCACACAGAATTCCTTTTAATATTTCTATTTATTTCAGTGGGATGGAGGGAGGTTAAATATATTATTTTAAGTTCAAGGAAAGAAGTTTTCTTATATTTTCAGGTGATAATTTCCACTTAGTACTCAGTAATATCTTTCCAAATAAGCCTTGTTTTGCAATGTGATCTTAAATAGATTTCTTGCGAAGATGTCGGATTGCCAAATAAACTAATCTTGCATGCTAAAAGAGCACAAATAAGATACCAGTCAACAGGATTGGATCTGCCATTTTAAATTTATTGCCTTGAATTAAAAAAACACATCAAAAACTTTAAATTAAATTTCTGTTGTTACTGGAATATCTTGAAAGATACCATCACCCCAGAAACTCCAATACCACCACCATCTCAAGCCTTCACTCTGGTACTGAGAGAGTTCCCCCACTTTTGACTCCTGTGATTACAATGAATTGACCAGTTGAATGCTAGCAGATGAGTAGTTCTGACTCCTTATTTAACTCTTCCCTCATACTTGGGGTTGGGTTGATTGCACATTTTTTCAAAGAAAATGCTTGTTTTAGTAGCAGTGAAATATCCATTTTTTTTCCATGATCACCTGCACAAGTGTCTGCTTTTTTTCTCCTTTTACTTTTGCTTTCCTGTCTTCATTCCTTCCTTTACTAAATTGACACATATTTGTTAAGAGAGGGAGCTGCTACACACACATTTCTCCTCTTCCTTATTGAGGGGCAAACTGCACATGCTTTCAAACCAGTATAATTATGCAAATAAGAACATTTAATTAATTTAATAGACCTTTTTTGCAGTTTCTGGTTGCCCTGAAGTTTGATATTTGGCATAGATAAGTGCTCTTTATAAGTGCTCTATGTCTTAGTTAAAAGCCTTCTGTCATTGATCTTGTTCTGCTTATGATATTATTTACAAAACAGGTTTTGATGAGTCTGAATAAAATTACAGATATATATTCCCATTCATAGTTGGCGATGCACACTTTTGCCTTTCTGTAGCATTTTGTGTGAGATAACTCAGTTCATGTTGAAGCAGTCAGTGGACTGAAACATATCAGTTCAAATGCTGAGTAGATCTGACTCATAATTTGGCTCGTGTAAAAGCTATTAATTCCGTCATGTCAAGAGATCCATTGTATGAATTTCCATTCCATTTCTACTCAAGAAAAACTACCACATCCTTTTATATACCACTAAATAATCTATTTTAGGATGTAAGGAGAAATAAGAGAAGGCTTGTGAAAACATAGAGCTTTCATGGAATGCCATTAAGTCTTATTAATGGAGCAGGTGTATTGTGTTAGGACTACCAGAACCTTCTGAAGAACATTTGAGCACTTACCACAGTTTGTGACAAAGTTGATCACATCTGGAAATTAGTTTATTTTATTTTAGTTTATTAAAGGCAAAGTCACAGAGATGTTTATCTCTATTTTTGCATCCTTAATTTTCTTAATCCTTAAGGGCTAATATGTTTCTTTTGAGGTGTGTTGGGGGTGGAGGAAGCATTGCCACACTTTATGATGCCATATTAAGATTAGAATGTGAGCTGTGAACCAGGAAGCTGCAGCTTCAGTTTTTACCCATCACATGCATTTACTTATGTGGAGTTAGACATTCACTGATTACAAGATGTGGCTATGGTCCCCAAGTTAGATGGTTTCAAAAAGTGATGAGGAATATCCATGGAAGATAAAGCCTTCAATGGCTGCTAGTCATTATAGTTTTATGGCTGAGATCTGTTTTGAATTTGGCTCAAATTCTGACTTGGATCAGTCTGGTTTGACAGATGTCCAACCTGGCTTGGATTTTAACTTATTTGTTAATGATTTGTGTTTAGAGAAATGCATGTGCCAGATAAACTATTTGCAAAAATTGCAAAGTTCACCTGGAGCACTTCCTATAAGGGAAACACTGGGGCATAAAGAGGCAGAAGGAGGAGAGGGTGTATAATTCTTGACTGAAAGCTGTATCTTTGAGTAGATTGCTTTTATCATTGTGCTCACATCTTAATTCTTTATGGTAGGAATTTTGCAGCATTATATTGCAGGTATGTTCCAGTAATCAATATTGTCTATTTGTTCTAGAAACAGGAATGCTAAAAGAGTTTTTGTGTGAAGTCTTAGGGACCTGGGAAATATAGAAAACACATCAACAAACAACAAGCCTCAAGTTGTTGCTCATCCTTAGCACCTGTCTTTTGCATATTTCTAGGCCACCTCTATACTTTGTGCCATTTCTATAGAAATGGCCAAATATAATTGAAGAGTGAAGAGGAAAGTGAATGATCCCCATTCCCAATTTAAATTCTTGATGTAACTCTCCAATATTTTGAGGGTTCTTACCAGAGTCAATCCTATATTGCATGTTGTTTTCATAACAATTGCCCACCATAAACATAAGGGAATGGGTATATTCTTTTTTGGAGTTCCCGAAACAGTAAAGAATCCACTTGCACGTGCAATATGGCAAGCCTGATTCCCCTTAGGGCCAATTCATCCTGTCCCCTTCCTCCTCTTTCATCTCTTCCTTTTCTTTCTCTTCTTGTTTATACCTCACCTTATCACCAAACCTGGGACTATATGGGAGAAAAAGTGGTGTATAAATTAAATAAATAAACACTTTGCAGATTTTGCACATTTAAAAAGCATACAAACATAGAATAAAACTGTTGTAATATGAAAATAATGTAAAATATACCATTTAACATATTTTCATTTCTCAATTTCTTGAATTTTTAAAAGTTTCTTCAAATTACAAAAAGAAATAAAAAGAACAATGTCAGTCAGTGATTTCCAAGAAGAAAAACAAAATTGAAAGATAAGTAACACAAACATCTCTGCACTTACTGTGCTTAGGTGGGTTGCGGACCTGTTATATCTAAAAATAATTATGGAATTCTGAGAAACAGCAAAAAAGTTACTTCCATTGTTTTTCTCTAATAGTCAGTGAGAATAACTATTATCTGGATTTCTAAATTGAGATTCAATAGACCAGCATTGAACTGTGTGTCTTTTGAATTATTTAAAGCCAAAGTGGGTTATTTACTGAGTTGGCATACAAACTGGATGTTACTGTACAGTGTACACATTTAATAATAATAATAATAATAATAATAATAATAATCTTTATTATATCCCACCACAATCTCCCCAAAGGGACCCAGGGCAGCTTACAAAGCACTCAGGGTACAGTATATACATAAAGTGGTACATAAATATAAAACAATAACACATAAAATTATAACAACCATTACACTTACTGTATATATTATTTATTTATTTATTTACCATATTTATACCCTGCCCTTCTCAACCCCGAAGGGGACTCAAGGCAGCTTTACACATAGGCAACCATTCAATGGCTTAAAACAACGTACAATTAAAATTAACATTTTAAGATAGAATTTAAAACACATTATAATATAAAAACACTACATTCATTCTTAACCACGCTATCCGCAATCATAATCCGAGTCATTCCAGTGGTCATCACACATAATTCCATATCCATCTATTGCACTATTTTTTCCCCCCAAGGCTTGACCCCAAAGTCACATTTTCACTCTTTTTTGCAAGGTCAGGAGGGAGGAGAGCTGAACTGATATCTAATATTACTCTTTCTATGATCTCAGGCAACAATGGCATGGAATCCCTCTATCATAAAGGATCTAGCTATTTTGCCTTAAGATGTTCGTTATCACATTGATAGATGTAAAGGGGGATTACTAAAACAATTTAAGACTTATGCTCCTGTATATCAATTCCTGGGGTAAACATTTATGTTCTGTTTCTGGGCTTCCTGTAGGCAGCTGGTTGACCAATAAAGAAACGAGGATGATAGAGAACATACGCCTTTGTTGTGATCTAGCATGATTCTTTAAGCCACTGGTGTCAAATTTGTGGCCCTCCAGATGTTTTGGTCTTCAGCTCCCAGAATTCCTGGCCATTGGACAAGCTGGCTAGGGCTTCTGGGAGTTGGAGGCTCAAATGCCTGTAGGCCCACAAGTTTGACACCTCTGCTTTAAGCACTATTAAATCAGAAGAAATCCGATAGTCCTCTTCTTCCAACTCAACCAGATAATGTAAACACTGGTTATTTATTTATTTATGATATTTCTATCCCACCTTTCTCAAGCCCGAAGGCGACTCAAGGCAGTGGTTATGACCTTTCTCATAGGATCTTTACATTAATTATTGCAGTTATGTGTCTTCAACCTGCCTGCTATGTATGGTGATGTTATCAGAAGGTTTTCATGACAACATTTATTCAAAGGAGATTTGCTATTGCCTTTCTCGAAAGCTCAGAGAGTGTGACTTGCCCAGGGTCTCCCAGTGGTTTTCCATGGCTGAGTAGACATTTAACTCCTGGTGCTGCATAGTCCTAGTCACACTCAAACCACTACACCATGCTGGTATCATGTTACTCAGAGACATATTCTGCATGCTCAAACTTCACTACTGAAACAATAGGCATGTTCAGTTTTCATATTCATTCCTCTCCTCAAAATGCAGAAATAAGACACTGATGGTGCATTAGTGTAAAGTATCTTGGGGAAAATGGGATGGGGAGAGATGCGTTAGGAAACAATTTCCTCATTGTGGTCATTTTAAGAGTACTGTTTAAAATAAACAGGTTTGATGATTTAATAAAATCTGACTTGGGTTTTAACAGCTGTGCTATTCCCATACCGATCACTTTTCATGTGGTGAGAATATTAAATTACTTTTGTGCTGAAAAGGTTGCTTCAAGGGTACTTGCATTTCCTTACAGAAGAAACATGACATTTGTTTACATGCTTAGCTCAAGCTTTGAGTGTAAAAATACGCTCTGTTTTGTATTATTGAGATTTCTGATGTGAATGACAAATCCAATTACCTGCTTACCTTGGTTTGTTTCTCTCCCCAACCCCAACAGTGCATTCACTTGATATAATTTCACCATCAGCATTTCTTAAAAGTTC